AAATTTCAACAGCTATTCACAATTTATTAAACTATTTACTCGAAATTGTTATTAAAATCTATAAAATAATTTTGTACGCCAATGTATCGCGTCCACTTCGGTGAGATCCGGTGCCAACCTGTCAATTTATGTGTATAAAGTGGGAGAACTGGCAAAAGCATTTCCAACTTTTACTTCTGTTCTACCGCTTCACCTATATTCTTATGCTGTGGCCACACAGAGTGCGATGTTCGCTACGTCCATTAAAAATATCTCCCATTATTATAAACCAAAGACATTACAACATATAGACAAAATGTTTCATTCATAAATCCCATACAATTGCGGACTGAGAAAGACAGATCTCTTATGACCGGCTGGCAACGTTGTAAACAGTGTCCATAATATGCTCGCCAGTGGCGTAGAGTTTTAAACTTACCAGTATTGTCAGAGTAGTATGTTATAAAAATACGTAAATTTGTATGTATATTTTTTTAGTAATATAATTATGATGATTTTTTCACGTAGGTAGATTAGATTATGAGTTGGACGTTATTTGTCCTTGTCCACCGCGACCTATTCAGATCTATTGTGGGACTCCTGTTTGTTTTAGAGTATGTCGTCTAGCCTGGTCTTTTTTATTAATCTTAGTAGCTTTGACAGTGGCTCTCGCATGTAGTTGCATGCAATTGGCTTTTCTTCGCCCAATGTTAGAAACCTCATTCCAGCCAGGCATTCACATTGGCACAATGCCTTAGCAACTCCACAGAAGGGCCCGGGGCCTGTCATGGCCTTATCTGAGCCTCTTCGGGCTAATTCCTCGGCCTTTTCGTTGCCCTGATATCCCTCATGTCCTGGAACCCAGGCTAAGGTCACCTTATTTTAACTACTTAGCTCTCTCAGGTCTTTTAGACAGTCTTTCATCAGTCGTGATTTGATTTCTGGTGAGAGAATTGCCTTCAGAGTATATGACAATAGTTTTGCATGATACTTGCTGATTTTTCATGTAGGTAAATTCAAGTACAAGTAAATTCAAATACAAGCGAATTCAAGTTACCTTTCGATTTTTAATATTTATTGGTTTATAGTTTATTGGCATTTACTATATATTTGCCTGGCATGATGTTAACCAAAATTATTTAAAATTTTAAATTAACATTAAGTAGGTAGAGGTATCTACCCAGACAACACACCAAATCCCAGAGATATCCACAGAATATATTTCGTGGATATCCAATATATCCACAGGATATCAGAAATATTCCGTGGAACTAATATGGATATCCAAATGTCCGTCTATATCCAGAATATAGAAGATATCCTATGGATATTCAGCAAAATATCTAATGAGTATCTCCAGACAATACAAGAAATCCCAAATATATCCATAGAATATATTTTGTGCATATCCAACCAAATGTCCGTCTATATCCCAGGATATAGAAATTCAGATAAATATTTTATAATTATTTTTAGTAGAGGTTCATAAGTAACCAATTGTTATTGAATAACGTCGAAAGAAAATAGAGGTAAAAAATATTCCCAACAATCTGCCTTTGATTTTGCCTACTATGAGAGAAAATCATCCTTATTAGGAATCTTCAGCAATAAATGGAACTTCTCGACTTCACTCTCTAATGAAATCTGTTTGTGAAACAATGTCGATCAAACTCAATTACGGCGGGTTAAGCATGAGTAGATACGAAAGTGGTATCGCCATCTATACTTAGGAAGCAAAATCAAAAATTACATCTAGTAGATATCCACGATGGTTTGCGTCCGCGCTTAGACTTTGATATATTTATATTTATAGTGGATGTCCATGGGATATTGAATACACCTTAAAAAAATTAATTTTAAATATCTCAACGGTACTATTAGCCACAATGGCGAGTACAATGGCGTAATTTTTTAATAATTTGCTATATAATTACAATTATTTATGGACATTTGCATGTCTATAAATTACATTTCATGGATATAAAATAGATATCCACCATGGACTGGACATTCAGTGGATATTGGGATGTTCAGTAGATATCCAAAGGATTTGGTGTGCTGTCTGGGTAAATAAAACACTGTCCTAAAAATATATAATTTTTTAATTAATAATTACAAAAAAACATGGTATGGCAAAAAATATCGTAAAAAAACTAAAAAATTTTAAAATAATGTTTTAAATATATAAAATACTTTAATTTTATTAACTAAAATTTCATTTAATTTTTTTATGCTTAGTTGTTATTGTTATAACTTACTGCAACGTTTCTTTTTGCAGCAGGTGGTGTTCCAAAAACAGTTGAATCAGAACTAAAAACCCATACATTAGATATACATACATATAGGTAATAAATAATGTTTAGAGGTAAACAAAAAATTAATATTTTGTATTTTTACCTGTTGGATAAGTCATCCAAAAATAGAAAGCCCTCACACCGTCTGGAGTTTACATCTTTTCTAATATATCTAGTATTATTTGCATGTACCAAAACATTTTCAGGAAAACAGTGTTCTAAACACAACTCTGATGGGTTTTTACGAAGGGGCTGATTTTCAAGGATTCCTATTAGAGAAAACCAAAGTTTTCTTTTCTCAGGATCTTGCGGAAACCTAAATAGAGTAATAAAAAATATGTATAGGTGCTGAATAGGTAAATCATTTTTAAGGTATTCTACATTTTATGTTAAATTTTCTTTGCCACTATTCAATAATTATTTATTGGTATAATTTACTAATTTATAAAAGGAATATCACTTTAAAAACTGTTTTAAGACTGTTTTAGACTACACAAGTTTTTGTTACAATTTCTTGTACAATTTAAATTGTATATTATCAAACCTGCAATAAATTGTCTGAAAAATTAGATTGGATAATCATTTTTCAAACAATTTACTATGTGATCCTATATAATTTAAATTCTATAAGAAATTGTATCAAATCTTGTACAAGCCCTACTCCACTATGGTTCAAATGAAAACAACATATATCTTGACCTAAAAATACTTACCGATGAAACCATACATTTCGACTTAAATGATCTACCTTTTTGAACACTACACATGCATGTACCATAATTCTTTATATTTCTCACAAAAGTTCACAAAAATAGTATTTTATAAATGAATAAATCAATAAATCACACAGATACTGTCAGAAATACAAAATAGCTTAGACCTGATTGGCAACGTTGCGGCTGGTTACGGTACTACATTTCATTCATAAAAATTGTAAATTCGTAAAATAAGATATTCAGCGTTGCCGTATGTACGGAGTTCTTTGAAACCCTAATATTTTGTTTAGATTAATATTGATTTTTTAATAAAAAATTTAGTTTATATTAAAACTTCAAAGAATAATTTGAATAAAAACATATTTTTATTTATATAATATAAAATTATAGTTACAGGACACATCAAATTTTATTTTTCGAAAGTAATTTCTCCAAATAATTTTGACAGACTGATAAAATCGGCAAATAAGACGCAATAAACGAGAATCTGGTGGGAATAATGATTTGCCACATAAAAATGTAAACAATTTGGTCTCTTAGTTGTAATGTCTTTGTTATAAACGGACGTGGCCACATAGATTTAAGACGCTACGTTCGCTATGTTATGTAGCAAACGTAGTGAACATAGCGTAGCGCTCAGTGTCGCCTCAGCATTACATCATGTGTAAAACGAAATTGAGCACAAGTGTCTATACTTTTTCATTTTCAGTTATCAATCTACCCCTCTGAGCAATTTCTACCCCTTTCCACTTCATTGCAATAACTTTGAAATTCGGAGAGTAAAATTTTGTGGCCGGTAAAATACACCGAGAAAAAATATTGGAACGTAATCAATGCTATACACTGATAAAAAATATTGAAATAGAAACTATTTTACCTTACTTATCGTGCATAAAATTTATATAATAAAAGATTGGTTTTTATTATAGTAGTTTCTGTCATGTTAAAACTTTTAATTTGATTTTTCCAAAAATAAAAAACATGCTAATAGACATCCGATCTATTACTCATGCGCAAATCCTACTTCCTGTTAAAATTCATTTTTTTTTTTAATTATTTGTTTCCGGACTATTATGCCGTGGTCTTTCTTGGTTATTACTAACAAACGTTTCAGCTGCGGCAGCCATATTCAGCGGCGTGTACGAAGTACTCTACTCGACGTATCAACTGATTTGAAGCTTTAATCCATTCTCTAATGAGTTGATTAGATTTTGGACATAGTCGGAATATACGGGGGATACTTCTTCTATTTCATGGAATATATCTGTTATTAACGCTTAAAGAAGAAAATTCTACAAATAAAAGTTGCTTGTGATGTTATTCTCTATAATTTTTGTCCTATACATAATTTACAGAAAATGGTCCGTATTCAAGATATTTGAGAAAAAGTGTAAATTTCGAATTTTGAAGATAACTCAAAAACGGATAAAGATAAGAATACCAAATTTTAAACTTAAGCTTTAATCCATCCTGTAGTGAGTTGATTAGATTTTGGGCATAGTCGAAGCATCTGGAGGCACTTTATAGAGTGTCGTTCTTTACTTTAAGCTATATCTCCGTTGTTTACGATTGCAGAAGAAAAATCTTTAAATAAAAGTTGTTTGTGATAATATTCTTTATAATTTTTGTTCTGTACATGAATTCTATAAAATGGACCATTATGAAAAAATTTGAGGAAAAGGGTAAAAATTTAATTTTTCGGTACTTTCGTTGGCAATGAATATATATAAAAAAATGTTTCAAGTAAGATGAATGTGAAAAACTAGACAGAAAAGTCATGTATTGGACACCTCGCACTTTTTTTCTAGGTTCAAGAGGAAGAAGTTTCACTAATCTTGCACCTTTTCACCCATAACTTTCTTACCTTTCATATTTTTTCTTTATTTTTCCTTAAAAATTGGCGAATACAATTTATTGTTTATTATTATTAAGTTGTACTTAGGTTAAAATTAAACAAATTTGGAATACAAAAGAAATGGTATATTAAAAAAAAAACATAAAAAATACAATTCTAATTCCTCATTATTTTATCAGCTTTTCCCAAAGTTTCAAAAAATCCCAATCTTCGAATACGAAGTTTACTCCAAACAATATAATTTGACATTGCAATACTTTGAGCTGCAGCCAAGGCAGCGCTTTCTGGATAAATAACAGTTGTACAACCCAACCCAGAAGGCACGTTGACGCTGGACCAAATATCTCTAGATAAATCATCTCTCGAGCCTGGAGGACAATTAATGACAGGATAATCAGTGTTACCAGATATAACAGGTCCAAGTCCATTAGATCTACCAGCTACTGCGATAAATATCAATGGAATGCCCAAACTTTCATAATAACTTACAATATTGATTGTAGAATCAGTCGTTTTATGTGCAGAACTAACTCTGATTTCTACATTTAGTCCAAATTCTTCACAATACTTTTTAATTTTATTAGCATGTTCCTTGTCACCCATACTGGCCATAACAATGACTACAATATGGTTGTTTGGAGGGATAAGATGATCCAATTGGTCGACTATCCATTCGAAGTTCCTTTTTACAGTGTCTAAATCTTTATCTGTGACTTGGGCTAGGTTTCTGTATACTTGTTTGTCGACCATCAGCCGTTTGTCGCCGGAAGGCCAAAGGCGCCACGAGTCTGAATCGATGACATCAGCTACCATAAGTTCACCTAGAAAGAAAAAAATCATTGGAGATGCTACTCTTTTTTAAGCTGTCACATCACTTCATGCATTTTTCATAATTGTTAAAGAACAAGCACCCAATTATTTTTCTATTTTACTCTTCCTACAATTCACTCAGAGATGGGATTAATAAGAAAATAAAAGTAGATACAGTTCGTTTGTTGCCTTCAAATAAATAATAAGTAGCGAAAAGTAGCAGCGATAAGTTTATTGTTTAACATTCTTAAAAACATGCAAAAGTTCAACTGATGGGGAAGAATTCCCTGGATCAAGTCAACGACGAAAAGAAAATACAACGAACTGCTAACAAATTTACAACTAAATAAAGAATCGCTAGACAGAATGATCGGATTCTTCAAATAAAGAAATTAATAGATAGAAAAGGAGAAATGAGTGACATCTCCAAAAACCAGATAAAGATAACGAAGGATAATCCTTAGTTTCTTATAAAAATAAAAACAAAAAATGTAAAACCACAATAATAATATTCCATTAAATAAAAACACAAGGAGATCCATAAATTTCTCACCATACATGAAAGAGTTCCAACAAAAAGAATTCAATAATATTAACACCAACAATACCATTATTAATAGAATCCAAATTGATCTATGGAAAGAAGAAAGACCAAATAATAGTAACATAATATTAAAGACAGCCTTATATCCTTTGCATTAAAAACAATACGAGAATACGAATACCGAGCAGTCTTGGTACATCTGACTGATGACACAAGAAGTAGGATCTAAGTTGGAGCAGCATGACGGAAGAGAGCTAGATGTAAAAACTGTGAAAAATTATTACTGCAGCTTGTAATATAACTTTTAAAAAGAAAGCTAACCTAAAACATAAACCCGTCTACTGGTGGACAGATGAGCAGAAAAAAGAAGAGTCTTTATTAAACAAAAAGGGAAATGACTAGAGTAAAAATGAAAAACTTTCAAATTCAAAAAAATGGCCGCCATGGAAGCCTACAGAGAAAGTCGAGCAACCCTGAAGAAATCCATTGCTGAAGCAAAAAGAAATGCCTGGAAAAAAGTAATAGAAGAAGTAGACCAAGATCTATGGGGTAAAGGATATAAAATAGTAATGGACAAGCTAAGAAGTACCTCGCCACTGAGTGAAGAGAAACAAATGGAGGTGGCAGAAAAACTATTCCCATCACACCCTGTCAGAAAATGGGAGAAACTACCGGCGGACGAAGAAAATATACCGATATTCACAAAAAAGAGCTTACCGTAGCCAGCAATAAAGTGAAAGAAAAAAAGGCACCAGGACCAGACGGTTTGTTCCCGGAAATCAAAAAGGTAATAGCAAAGGAGCATCCAGACAGAGTACTGGAAGTCCTAAACGGGCTCGTTAGGAAAGGAACATTCCCCAACATATAGAAATTAGCAAAGCTGGTGCTAATAGAGAAAGGTAAGCATGGCCAGAACAACAAGGCATATAGACCCATCTGCCTATTAAACGTTCTCGGAAAACTACTAGAACAGTTAATACTCCCAAGACTGAAAAAGAAATAGTAATCAGTGAAGACCTAGCTGAAGAACAATGCGGTTTCGAGAAAAAAGATCTACAGTCGGAGCCCTTCAACGAGTGCAAGAAATTGTTGATGAAGCCAAGAAAATAGGAAGGAAAAGGTGTATTCTCGTAACAGTAGACGTACGTAATGCTTTTAACTCTGCCCCGTGGAACTGTATATCCTAGAACTAAAGAGGAGATATATAGCGCCGTATGTCTACAACCTAATAGAAGACAGATGGCTCTACGTGGGACAGAATGGAAAAATGGCTGTCACTTGTGGAGTTCCTCAGGGATCTGTACTAGGACCAACCCTGTGGAATATCTACTACGATGGTATAATGACAATTCCGGTACCGCGCGGAGTCAAGTTGATACCCTACGCATACGACTTTGGAATAGTGATAACAAAAAAAGACGAGGAAAAACTGAGGACAACTACAAATAAAGTACTCTCATAGGTGACAAAGTGGCTATGCACAAAAAGACAGCCTAGCCCCAGAAAAAACAGAGGTCGTTATTCTAGCAGGAGGGCGAACGCTAAAAGAAATAGAAATCAAAGTGGAAGGCGTGAACATAAGAAGCAAGGAATGTATTAAGTACCTGGGAATATACTTTGAAAGAAATATAATCATGGGTCAGTATGTCAGAAATGTTGCAGATAAAGCAAGTAAGGCAATCGAAAACATAAGCAGGCTGCTACACAATATTGGAGGTTCACGGGAGGATAATTATGCTTTATATGGCGCCACCATATGAAGCAGAGCAATGAAAAGAAAGATATATCAAGACATACTTCTAAGGGTGCAAAGAAAAGCTGCAATAAGAATAACGAGCTCGTATAGGACCGCGTCGACAAAAGCGCTATTAGTGATAGCCAGAACCCCACCACTATATTTTCTAGTAAAAGAAAGGTGCGCTATGCTAGATGTAATATAAAGAAGAACAGCGACTGAAAGAACTATACAAAAGTGGCAAGAGGAATGGGAGGCAGAAACAAACGTCAGACAGTGGACGAAAAGACATATACCCACTCTAGATCCATGGCTCAAAAGAAAGCATGGAGAAATGGCATATCACCTTACGCAATTATTATCTGGGCACGGATGCTTTCAGGTATACAGATGCAGATTTAAGGTGACATATAATGAAGAATGCATAAATTGCGAAATCGAAGACACGCCTGAGCATACCTTTTTCGAGTGCGATGGATGGATGACTGATAGAACTGAAGTAGAAAACGGTAGATAATATACTAAACAAAATGTTAGAAAAGAAAGAAAACTGGAATACCGTTAGCAAGTTCGCAAAACGTATCATAGAAACGAAAGAGAAAGATGTAAGAGCAGTAGGGTCCAAAACAACTAAAACTTCGCTCTCCCGAAGCAATGCTTACAGCAGTACCAGGAGCAGTCACTTGAGAAGACCAGAGATGTTTTAGTGGGTATACTGAGCGGATCTGAACGTTCCCATGAGCCTCCATGTTATCCTATTGCGAATGACCCAAGCAAAGGATGTCCTTAACGGATTTGACCTCTTACAAAAAAAAAACATCTGACTGATGAAATACAGGTTGCAGTGACAAACAAAGAAACGATTGTGTGTACCTTCTTAGACAAAGAAGGATGTTTGACAACAAAACGCATCAATCTATCAAAAGGGAACTCCAATTCTTAGAAGTAGTCAGCACAACATCCAGAGGGATGTCACACCATCTCTCTTCATCTGCACAACCAGAGGATGTCCACAAGGAAGAATTCAATCCCCACTAATATGAAACTTGACAATAAATGAACTTCTGTGCAATTTGGCTGAGCTCGGCATACTTTGTCAAGGTTATATTTGCGAGAGGTAAGTTTAAAAATATCCTCTGTAATATAGTCCAAAGAAGACTTGAACAGAGCAAAATATGGTGCCGTGATAGTAGATAGTACCCCATTCAAAAAAAATGTTTAAAACAATAAACATAGATGGGATAGATATAGAATGGAAAAAACAAGTCAATTATCGAGACCTAACCCTGGACAACAAATTTCTCCGGAATATACTTTAAAAAGAAATTCTAATGTAGGGACATTGAGGGGAAAAGATAGGGATGTACCCCGAACATTCTGCAATGAATGTATACAGTAATAATGAAACCAATCATCACTAACTAGGCTATAGAGGTAACAGAACTAGATTAGATATAACGAGAGCTAATATCTCAAAGTGTGAAGACTAGCCTGTGTTTACATGGTAACGGTTCATATTATCGTGAGTCAACATGATATACAGTTAGGTGTATTTTGTGTTGTGGTCGGCACGAAAACTATTTCTGTATCTGTTGAGCCTCAGTTTTTAAACAGGGTTCGGTGTGTTCATCTTGTCAATAGTCATTGTCAATGGGGTTTTTGTTAAAAATACGGAAAAAGAACGACAGGTACTGTTGGAGGCCGTGTTGAGCTATAAGAATTTGAATTTACTGTAAATTGATAATCTGTGCCAGCCATAAAGGAATTATACAGTAAATTAATAAAATTAATTTGGAGAATTTGTGTTTGGGCAGTTGAGCTGCGTACTTTTGGTATTTTTTTTTAAATTTGAACCTTAGAAGGGGATTTATTTTCACTGCAAACCTGTCCGTATTTGTTATAACGAATGCCACAGTGTTATTTCTTGGATTGCTATAGGAATTAGTGGGTACATGCATATTTTTTTATTGGATTTCCAAATCTTGTTTTTATTCCTAACATTTATTCTAGCGAACTAGACGATATTTGAGAGTACGTCTCGATATTTTATAGTATTGAAACGTGGCATTTATGTTGATTAAATTCTAGGGTTAGTTTGCCATGACCTAGTACTTATATTATTTTAATTTTGTAGGGCTTTTCTGAAAACTTTCTGTCTTTTGCCATAGTTTTTCCTTTACTTCCCAATTTTGTGTGGAGTCCCCAGAGCTCTTGCTGATAGCTGTTTTTTTCTGGGCTACTAAGGAGGTTCTAGAGCAGTATTTGTCCCTGTGACTGATAGTACCTAAATTTAAGATGAACCGAATTTTGCTATATAAAAATTATGATCCGAAAGTAACATTAAAATATATTTTTCTAAAAATCATCTTATAAATTCGAGGTGCGTCTTATAGTCCGAAAAATACGGTAAATATATCGATTTATCAATACAAGAAACGATCTAAACAAAAGATTTCGAAACACAGATAATAAATATATAATTAGGTGATGTCAATTAAAATTTTGTTGATATAAACATCTGCAGAAAAACAATTGTGACATCACTGCCATAACCTTCTGAACTATTACAAGAAATATTTGAAAAATAATATAGCAAAAACTTGATTATTCAAACTGTTATATAGACCTGCGATTAATTACGTCAATAGATAATAGCGAATCGAAAATTGTTTTGACATTTTTCATACAATTAAATTTCAAAAAATGTAATTTTGTTCTTATAAATTTATGAAAAAAAATTTATTCCAACTTGGTATACTTTTTCTTCTTTTCGCAGAAGTGGATCAAGAAATATTGTCTTTAATAGAACACATATTTTTCAATTACCGATGGATCAATTCTTTCTCAGATAGCACAGGACGTCCCATGGACGTCCTGATTTGCTCCTTTGTTGGTCCGGTTGGTCCCGGACCTAAATAGGACGTCCAGTGGACTTCCGATTACCGTGAACACTGGAACGTCCTTTGACAGACGTCCTCTGGACGTCCTATTTTGGTCCCATTTCGTCAAAGCGTTTAGTTTTCGGTCCGAGTCCAGGACGTTAATGGGACGTCCATTGGACGTCTATGGGACTTTCTATGTACTAACATCGTTGGTCTTTAAATCGATAACTTGAAATTCAACATTTTGTTTTTGCAAGAGTATGAGGACAGAAAACCTAACCTATCTATTTTCAAATGAACAACAACAGTTACAAATTTCGGAATTAAATAATTAACTTATATAAGTGAGTTGGATTAACGAAAAAAAAAAAAGGTAATATAGTGTTATTTGTTATTTTTTTTGATGTTGGTGGTAAAGAGGTTATAAGTGAGTGTTTTATGTTGAGGTGAGAATAAGTGATGTGTATTGGCGGTAGCCGCTGGCGAAAAGAAAAGACCTTAATGACGAAAAGTTGGAACAAAATAAATTTTGACAAAATTATAAAACTTAGTTATATCGACACAAGCTATAAGTAGGACCTCAGGTTTCATCTTACCAGCCCTGTGTGTAAAATTTAATTCATTCCTGTTTTTTTTTTTGTAAACTGAAAACGTTTTACTCTAGCTAGTTATTTCAGGATAAAAGTTGTTAAATAGAGCCCTTTTGATGTTAACATTTTTGTTATTATTACCCTTTATGGATTATGGTCAAATATCGTCCATCGGACGTCTGATTTACGTCCCTAGGATGTCCCTCAATGGTCCCTATGACGTCCTTTTGGATGTCCCAGGGACGTCCCTAAGATGGACGGAAACGGGACATTAGGACGTCCGATTGACGTCTCGATACAAAAATAGGACGTCTTTTAGACGTCCATAAGACGTCCGTGTGCTATGTGGGTTAATTTTAAGATTCTTTATAAAAATGACGAATGCCACAAACTTATATATTTTTTTTTTAATTCAGTATCAATTCATTGGAAATCAACAAAAACCAAAGCATGTTACGGATTTTCTATTCTTACATAAGTTGTTGAATGGTGTAAAAAATTATCCGGAACTGCTTGCTTCATTTAACTTTACTGTTGGATGAAGAACTAGAAATAGACCATTGTTATATGAAAATAAGCATTTAACAAATTATAGTCGTCATAATTCACTGACAAGCTTATTTGGCAAACTGAACAGCATGTCGTGTATTTTTCAATTAATTTAGAATGATTAAAAGAATATTACATAGTTAAAAAAGGGTTGTTCACTATTTTTTTTTTATTATTATTATGTTTTTTCTGTTTTGTTTGTTTTCTCTATTTTCTGTATGGTTTCACTATGTTTTATCTATGTTTTATCTATGTTTTATCTATGTTTTCTTTATGTTTTCTATATGTCTATGTTTTTAACGTCAACAGCGATCGAACACATGAACAGATGTCCTGGATGGAGCGGGATTCTGCAGACGCTAACTAAAATGGACCTAAGTGACTATCTACTGAACATAACCGGCGAATTCCTCGAGGAAAGATTACTTTCGGTTGGAAAGGAAGAGATCAGCATGCAATAAGGAGTTCCACAAGGATCAGTGCTGGGTCCCCTACTATGGAACATTGTCTACAAAGGTGTTCTCACACTCGATTAAAAAAGCTGAGGAGGTCATTATATAAAGCTAAGTCACTGGGTAGATACACAAGGACTAGATATTGCTATAAATTTTTCTTTTTTCCACATTTTTAATTTTTTTTTAATGATAATAAATATTGCACTATAAAAAATAACTGATCGACATCAGTCAATAACCTTTACTTTTAACTCACTGCCGATAGCAACTCACTGTCGTCAAAAATGATAAACGTCACCAAATAAGTGAAGAAAAAAGAAATTTTACATACCTGTGCTGTCAACTCCAAATTCAATTTTCATATCAATCAAAGCACAGTTTCTCGTTTGCCATACTTTTTCTAAAACTTCAAATACTAATATGGAGGTTTTTGTCATCCATTCCACCTCATGTTCACCTAAAATGAAGGTTCAAATAAAAGTAAATATTTTTTTAACATTCCATTTTTTTATATTATTAATTTTTTATTGTGACAAGAGTAAATTTATTATAAAACAAAAATGTTCTACTATCAGTGAAATCATACTTAAGTACTAAATTCCGCTACAGGGCTATTAAATAATTATGTAGTTTAACCATTCTGTAAATAAATATATTTTATATCTTTAATAGTATCTTTAATATTATTTAGAAAATTTTCTATCATAAACATATATTTTACCCATATTAATAATTTGGACCTAAGGATACTTATACCGTCATAATCTTTCATTTTAATAAGAAGGAACCTTTCCTTTTTTTATTTTTAGATAATCTCTAACGTTAGAACGAACTATAACTTATTACATCATCGCTATAAAGTTAATCAGAACATGATGTATTAATAAATATTTCTTGCATATTACCATTAGTCAATTATATAAACAAAAAAATAATAATAGAAACAAAAAATAAAACAACATAATAAATTTCCTAACATACCAATCACAACTCCGTTGACCTTGAACTCTGCGGAGATAATTTGCTCCTCTGACCACTGGGGATCGTGATTAGCATCGTCTTTGAAAAAAGTCTCGTGCTTGGGGGGGCTAAAGCGATAACCTTCCTTGACTCCTGGATTACGTTTTAAGAAGGAACCTGTAGCCAAGCGACGCGTTACCCATTCTATGGGAATCATGTCGCATTTTTTTGACAGAAAGGCATTGTCAGACACTGTTTTTATAAATGATGATTTTATGCCTAAAATATTGAAAAAAAAATTAATTATGCATATATGTTGAAAACGTCACATCTATCAATGTAATGTTACTTTTTTGAGACAGAAATATATTATGTAAAATCACTTTTTGGAATGTCTAGGGTTTTCCATTAGAGACTGTAATTATTCAAATTTTCGTTGAAAATGAAAATTGAAGGTTTGGCAACTAATTTTTAAAAAGAATATCAAATAAATGGCTACCTCTTGCTGCCTTAAAGATAGCCTCAAAATTTTGCATCGCGTTTTCACATAATTGTGGTTTTATCTCACTAATAAATCGAATTATTTCTGGTTTTGAATCAGGAATTGTTTATTGATTGTTTCGGTAGACCTGGCTTTTCATGTAGACCCAAATAAATAAGTCTAACGGTGTCAAATCACATGATCTTGGTGGCTAACTATCATCTACGTTTCTGGAGAATACACATTCAGGAAATTTTTTCTCAACAAAACCACTATGGCAGTGGATATGTGGCATGTTGCTGAAACTGCATGTCCTCCATTGGCAACTATTGTAGATTCCAAATGTCAATATATTTTGACATTTTGAATGTCGAATTTATAACCTCACAAAAATTACGTCATTAATGAATAACCCTATACATTTCAATTTATACAACATTTGATTTATGTTAATTTGCATGTATTATTTTTTATTTTCATTGTTTTGATTTTTCTTCATCATTATGGGCAGGCACAGGGTTATTCATTATAAATTACCCACCCTTTATCTTGGTTAATATCGGATATTCAAAAAATAGACCACACAGTACTATAATTATATCTTTCAGATAAAAAGTTGTCAAATGTTATAATTATATTTTTGAAATCATTAAAAAAACAATTTACATTAGCTGGTATTAAATATAATGGAGGTTGATAATTCCCTTTAAAGAATATTAATTTAAATATCTCCTATATTGAGGCTATAAAATTTAAAAAGAGTTTATTTTTAATGAAATTATTTCATCTTTGTACTTACCAACACTGTTTAAAATTTCGAATACTTTTGCGTTCGTTTTATTGGAAATAATGGATTTTCCAACCAAATCATGGGCTTTTACTCCATCTCCAGCTGTTATTCTATCCTTGTTTACTAAGATGCAATTCCCCGGGCTAGATGGAATATCGTACACTTGCTTAGTTTTTCCTTCAATTATTAGACTGCCCAATTTGTATCCCCCTACTAAAAATATAAATTTTGGTAGAATCAATTAATAGAAATAATCTACTCTCCAATTTAAAGGAATTTTAAATGGATTCCATAGGTGGCGCCTGATTATTTAAGTAGTATGTCAACATCAGGTGATTCTAATAAGATTTACTGTCAACTAGTATTAATTGATTGAGCCTCTGTGATCTTATTTGTTTTGTGTTAGACTTATTTTTATTAATAAAATTAAAAATTTAATGTTTTACGACTTAGAAAGTGATACATTTATAAAAATTTCGTACGTCCAAACTACCCAGGTACAATTATTGTAAAAATGTATAGTAAAAATTCATTCATACACACTTTTCTAGCTCAAGACCACAACTGACCACAACTGACAATAATTTTTCAGATGAGCGGTGTTGTGCTTTATGCGAACAAAATATCTGATAAGGTATCGGACTAAAATGAATATCTCTAAATACAATTATTTAAAATTTAATTTTTTCATTTAACTTCCTTGTGAACAGTTTATTGCATATTTTGGTTGTATGTACGTTTAATTAATAGACGTTTCTTTTTCAATCATTTTGGGCGCTTTCCTTATACATCAGAAACCATATTTTTCAAGAAATACAATTATACACGGATTAAATTGGCAACATCGTGCACAATCCCGTTAAAATGTCTGAAATTATTATTTTTACGACATGAATGTAAATTTTAGTTATCAGAGATGCTGTCAAACATAATTTTTAAATGCAAGAAATTTTTTTAGATATGAATTAAAATATTGTTTAATTTTAGATTATTTTGATGTATTTTTTTATGAAACACAGATTTTACTTGTCCTCAAAATTAAAGAATAGAAAACAAACGGCAAAACAAGAATGGAAATATGGCAACGTGGCAGATGTAAATTTCAAATATTAGTGCAAAGTGGTTCAGCCATGCGCATTTTAGATGCTTAAATTACAAGATTATCCCCACTAGACCTCTTATAGGGGAAAACAGGACACTTGAAAGAGTAAAAAATATTTAAAATAAAAATAAAGTCAATTTAAATCTTTATTATATTTTGTAACCTGTAATATTGTTGTCAAGACCTCTATGAAGATTTTTAGTTTGACATTTTAGCTGAAATACCTTATTTTGTTTACTAATAATACTTAACAAAATGTCTTAAATATGTATATCACATAAATCTAATCTCAAAATGGTCTCACTCTACTATCCGGAGGTGGTAATCTCGAGGTAGCATTAGTATAGATATTGAAGTAAGCACAGAAAATTATTACTGATTGCTATTTTCATTTATATTATAATAAAATGCGATATTTTGACTATTATTAATCTAATTTTTATCATTATTAGGCATTCCAAACAAAATGGTTGCTCCTAGGTTACGATATGGCAACCCTGTGGGCCTGGTGATTTGACAGAGTCAATGATATAGACAGTTATATAGATTGATCACGCATGTTTTGCAAAATAAACATAATTTTATGCCTTGAGTAAAAAAAATATTTTTTTCTAATTTTGACATATGAAGGGTTTAGGAAAAAACATGATAAGCGCAGATTTAATAATTTTAGAGTTTCATAATAACAGTAGGTCTAACTGGTCCCTACAAAATGCACAAACTCTACATGGACATAAACTGTAAATTCCCATGATATCTGCCTAGAAAAAATATACATACATTAGGGAAATAACCTGGTAACCACCAGCGTTTTTTATCTCTCCTGTAAAATTAACAAAATGGCGCTTATCATGTTTGTCCCCTGGACCTTTCATATAAAGTGACAGTTTTTGTAATCGCAGCAAGTGTCACTATGATCTACTTTATGCAATCAGTTGCATACTGTTGAACATTATGAAATTGGTTACGAAAAATTCATTGTCACCAGTTCACTCGGTACATACAATAAGGCATTTCATAACTGGTTGCATAAATAGCTATTAATATATTTAAAGGCCAAATAGCTATTTATGAAACTAATTACGAAATGCCTTATTTTACGTAACGACTGAATATTTGCGGAACGATCAAAGCGAGGTACCGCAACATGAACGAGTCAACCTGCCCTTATTTGATATAAATTTTCAATAATATTGTATATACTCATTTTAAATCCAAAAAAGGTCAATTTTTAAGTTTTCTTTTCGTAACTGGCGACATAATGAATTTTTCATAACCAGTTTCATAATGTTTAACAATATGCAACTGGTTAAGTAAAGTAAATCATTTTGATACTTGCTGCGATTACAAAACAATGAATGTCAAAATTAGATAAAATTTGTTTTAAAACACATTTTTTTCTGAACCAATTTTGATTAATAGCAGCACTTGCGAGGCAATATGGCTGCTAGCAAAGCGATCCACTTTGAGCAATCTATATAACTATATATACATCATTGACCCTGTCAAAGCCAACAGGCCCATAGAGTTGCCACATCATAACCAACGGACACGGGCAGCATTTTGATTAGTCGTTGGAATGCCTAATTTCTTCCCAAAAAACATAAAACAAAATAATGTATGGAATTGTCATTGTCGACACATACGGTGAGTTTGCAACGTTGCCATATTGTTGAAAAATGCATTTATTTATTGGTTACTGGTAAAGCACAAAATTATATTTTTGTATTGAGATTGTATTTACGTGGTTTAAACTATTATTAAAATAAAAAAATAATTATCTACATATCTATATAACTATCTATATCAGGCCTGCACAACATACGGCCCTCCATTGTCGTTTTCTTGGCCCTTTGTCCCTTTAACAAAATTGCATTTAGGTATTAATTGTCTTTTTTAGGAGTTCGATAGAAGGACCTGGTTCGTTAAGCTTTTTTTTAGAAGCTCAATAGAAGAACTCGACCTACTTTATAAATTGATCCCAAAAAAAAAAAAAAAATTACATCCGTTCTTGGCCCTCGTACACCTACGGTTTTTTTGATCTGGCTCTTTGAAAATCTCAGTTGTGCAGACCTGATCTATATGATTGACCCTCTCAAATCCACCAGTCTACAGGGTTGACATATCAATGCCCACAGGCAACCATTTTGTTTGGAACGCCTCTATTACTTTTTTCAGGGATATTTTTAAATTAATTTGGTTGAGATTTTTTTTATACACCATCATAACCGTAAATAAGCTTTTTAAAACACAAAAATATTATGATTTTTGATCACTTCAATTTTTTATGATAATAACTGAAAATAAATAATCCTGAAACTTTAAATTTAATCAACAACATGGCAAAACGTTGTTGTTTTCAAGACAGAAACTGTCATATAAAGTAAATGTTTTGTGAACATAACATACACATATTAGATTGAATTTTTTATTTTATTTTTCTCGAAAAATACTGTTTTTTTTTTGTATTTTTTTTACGAAAATGTACTAGGTATAGAAACCAGTTACTTTTGAATAGTTAAAAATGTTTTGCCAAATTCACACCACTGGATTCCGTGACGTACACTATTTAAATGTAATCTAAAAATATTTACTGTCACACAAAGAAATTATTAAAAATGCAATTTTACTAAGGACCGATTCCACCGTTGTGTTAAACGGAGTTTAAAATGATATTTTTACATTAACAATGTCATTTTAATCTCCGTTTAACACAACGGTGGAATCGGTCCTTAAAGAGTTAAAATGTTATTTTCGCAAACGCGATTCAAAAGGTTAAAATTCTTACAATATTTGATTAAAAAAAATATGCAAAAAAGGGAATTGTAATGGGCAATGCCCCCGAAAAATCTAGTTTAGAAGTTATTGTCCGTTAGTCGGGATCCTAGACACAATGTACCTACGTATTTTTTTATGATTTATAAAGATAATGAATGAATATACCGACACCGACTTAACTGAGGTTATGTTCAAAACTTTTTACTTATTTTAAGTTCTATTAAGCACCTAGATATTTAAAATTAATCAATTCGATTAAACATGTCTAAAGTTGATTCTATTTTTTACATAATAAAAACATAATCATAGCCATGCATTAAGTATTTAGTTATAAGTATTTATATCTTACCTTCTTTCACCAGTTTCACCGTTGCCATTTTATTAATATTCGAAAGAACAAGGAATAAAAAAGTTTTAAAAATTACTAATTCGTATTAACTCGCAATTTACTACCAAAAACTAAACCTTATTTAAAATCTATACCGCTACAAACTCTTTTTATTGCTACATAAAATCGCGTGCGCATGCGGTATTTTTATTTTCTCGATAATTGGAATTTCGTAACTACTTATTTGTTCTTAACGTAACAAATAGTATTTCCAAAAACGTTTCAATTACTTTGTTACTATGTTACTTGTTGCCCAACACGAAAGACCAAACAACATCAACAGATTACTGATAAACTTTATTCAACAAGTAGTTGCGCGTTGCGCTTACTGTGACGTTACACGGATGAATTTGGTAGTGGGAGCGAAGATTCAAAACACGTGCAAATATAAAACGCGAAGAAGCCGCTTTTTATTAAATTTTCGATCTAGAGAGAACTTTAAAAATAAAATTAATAGATAGTTGCTTTAGTTAAACATAGCGAGTAAGTTTATATTTTTTTTTTCAAAATTAATTTTCTATATTGACAGATTAGTAGAAATTAATTTAATTTTATTATTATTTTTTCTTATCAGTGGCAGAAAAAATCAAATTTTGTGGATACGAACACAACAATGAAGCAGAAGATTTGGCATGTGCATTGGAAAGTGTTGGAGTTAGTAAAAGAAAAGGTCGCGGGGCTGTCACTTCCGGTTTAACGCACGAGTGTGGTGTTTTCGGAGCGATAGGATGTGGAGAATGGCCGACAAATCTAGAAATTGCACAAATTGTTTGCTGGGGATTGGTGGCGTTACAACACAGGTAAAAAGAGTGGAATATAATTAGTTAAATGTATATAGTGCTTGGCATATAAAACATATTTACTATTTGATAACCAATTAATAAAATAATAAATAAAACAGGATATATCCAACTATAATTTAATTGTGGTATTACATCGTTGTCATTTAGAGACTAGTAAATTATAGAATTTGTTTCTTTCTTTTTAAATTAAGCTTGATATTTCTGCATGCACACATTCAAGATGCATACGCATGGGTGTGCGCTTCGAGTCACATCGCGCGGGAATTATAAATGGGACAATAAATGATTTGGTTAAATATTTTCCAGTCTCTAGCTACCCCATGTTTCTTCTTAGCGATGCCCTTAACCACAGTTGCTTCTCATTTTCGGCTTGCTACGACCACTGTTCAGTTGTACCGCCCTTTTGAGTTAAATTAACATGATTAACAATGATGATGATTTATGTGATATTAACGTCCATAATTGGAAACGCATAATATATTCCCAATATTTTTAGAGCTTTTTCGAAAAAAAGTAATTTTATTCTTTCTGATTCTGGTTTAATCTCTTGTTAAATAGCTTGGAATTGGTTTGCAATTCTTTTTCTGGTGTTTTCATTGAAGATAAGTTCAACAATAACATACATATATTTTGGTTGAATGCTGGCGCATCTTCTTTCCATCAGATTTAGGATCACAATCAACATCATTAAAATCACTTGAATTCATTTCTGCATCTAAATCTTTTAGCGATATCTCGCCCGTCATTGTCACTTGACTCCGAGTTATTTTTCTTCTGCTTTTTGAAGTGTTCCGTTCATCTTCATTCAAATCGTTCCTTCTGCCTTTTGACGTTCTTGGATCAGATTTAGACGCATCGTTAACTCTTCTTCCTTCAATGCCTCTTCTAGCTGGAACATTCAATTTCCTTTTTTTTGCTTCTCTGCTTTCTGAAGAAAACTTTTAAATGTATTAGTCCACGTATTATCAGAATCCAGATCTGGAGTTTCTTTCCTTTGGCCATCAGGAAGCCTCTTCAATACCTGTCGGTCCAGTAGCACAATCCCTGCTGCTTTAAAACCAACTTTTGAGTTTTCCTTAATGTTTTCTTCATCCAACTCATCGATACATTTTTTTCAGAAGTCGTGGGAACTTGTCTTTAGGTATTTTGTCACAATTTGTTTCCTTCCAGTCATTTTAAGTGCAGTGGGTGTTGTTTGGAGGCAATAGTAGAACATTTATGTTGTTACTTTTGCTAGGGTGGGAAAGGGAAAAGCATGGCAACGATGACAACAGGGGATAAGATTAATGCCAGGTTCTTTTTTGTGGAGATCTAAAAAAAGGAAAAGTTTCCGCTTATATTTTTATAAAACAGGTCCTTTTTTCTGGGATATCTAAAAAATGTCTTCCCTCTTCAAAGCTTCATTATAAGTTTGGATTTAAAAATCGTGGCATTTAGGTAACAAGCTGGCAATTTGCTAGTTATATAGGCGTAATGAGTGGTAATTACGCTTAAAGCGGGTCGTCTGGCAACCCTAACTCTTCAATAATAGGTCTTTTCCTTTGCATCGAAAGTGTAGCACTCAGCTGCACCACTTCTGAAAATATCGTTCCATTTATACAAATTGTATGGATGGAACGATATTTTCAAAAGTGACGTAGCTCAATGCTACACTTGCGATGCAAAGAAAAAGACTTTTTATGTATATATGGCTTGCCAAATTGTCCCCTATCAATACCTTTGTAGCATCGTTGTCAAACTTTCTAAAGTTTGAGAGTACTATCTTCCTAAACATATCCTCAAATATTACTAGAGTAAACCATCCACTCTTGGACCTATTGTAGACAGCACCCTTTGGACAGATGTCGAAGTATTGTTTGAGGATATGCTGCAAAACGATTATACCGCATTTCACTTAAAAATACAATTTTTTGGCGAGTAAAGTTATGAAGGTCATTAAATTTTAATAAAAGAAATCTTAAAATAAAACATTTACATACACTTACCTTTAGAAACAAAGAAATGTATACAACCAAAACAAACTTGCAACCGCCTAACAGTGTTGCCAATATTAGCATTAAAAATGTACTCGTTGAAATGGCTTTTGTTTCTTCGGCGGCCTAAGTAATCCCGGAAGACGGTACAGTACCTACCTATATTGTAAACACTAGAACGATCTTATATTATACTCTTCACAAAAGACCCCTATTTTCCCCTATTTTCATTTTTTTTGCGTTTCTGGCTTTTAATACGCTAATTTATTATACAATACTATGTTGGCTTTGACAAAACAACAAAATTTGATACATGTAAACTGGAAATAGTTTTAAAGTCAAACTTTTTTAAGATATCATTTTAGAGCTTACGTTTTACAGGTGACTTCTCGAACACCCTGTATAACAAAACAACCTTAATTTTGTAGTCTTTTCAATACATTTATTGTTCCTTTGATAAATTTTTGACAATATTCGTGTGTGCTCTATTTCTAAATTTTTCATTTAATAAACAAATTTATTTAGATTGTTGCATCATATAACTAAAAAGGAGATAAATAATATAAAATCAAAACATTATTATTTCAAATATCATGCGATATATTTATAGTTGCGTCATTGGGGGTACTATTTTCACAATCAGAGTTTATCGAAATAAATAATGTATGTAGATAAAACTTTCCATAATTACTTAAAGAACAAAATGATTGCAGTCACTGTACTTTTTTTATAATCATCTTTAGATAATAAAGGAAAATTTTCGTATTTGTGAGTTATGGATTCTAAATATTATTTAAAAACTTATATTAAAATAAAATTGATCGATAGATATTAAAAATGACAATTTTCAAACAATGGCACCAGAACGGTTGAAATAAAATTACAGGATATTCTTTTTTTACAAAAAAAATAGTCTATTGTTTAACGAGTAACGAAAGTAGCATTTTCTGCAAACGAGGCGCAGCCGAGTTGGAGTAAAACGTGACGAAAGTTGTTGATTTTTAAATGGCTATAAAAAAAATTCTTTATTAATTTCTTTTTTTAGGGGACAAGAATCTGCGGGAATAGTCACCAGCGAGGGTAGGTGCTCAAAATTTTTCAACGTAGTAAAGGGAATGGGGATGATTAGTAATATATTTAACGACGAAGCAATCAAAAGACTGAAAGGAAGCATCGGGATAGGACATACCAGATATTCAACTAGCGCGGCCTCAGAAGAAGTCAATTGCCAACCATTTGTAGTGCACACTGCCCATGGAGCGCTTGCCGTTGCTCACAATGGAGAATTAGTCAACTGTGATAGTCTTAGAAGACAGGTGATTATTAATTTTAGTGAATTATAATAAAATGTTTCAGTGTCTAATAGTCTTGAATAAATAAAACTCAAAATAGATCCCACACGTATGAGTTGCAGATGGAAAACTTTTTTATTATTAGTTTTATCGAAAGATGTATTCTTTATAAAAAGTTCTATATAGTCTAAAACCTAAAATTTAATCATCAGATATTACATTTTTTGAGCCGTATACGAAGTGCGTCAAAAAGTAGTAATAATAATACTCTCCCTAATTCACCCCCTTACAAGAGAATTTTAACGCCAAAAGCTGAAAGTTGTCCGGGAAGGGAAGACTATTATTATTATTTGCCGTGGCGCTCCGGGGCGACTTTAAGATGGTGCCAATTTCTGCTAATACGGCATTCATCAAATCCTGTAACGAACCTTACAAATTAATTTAAAATTCACATAGTTTGCTGTAAAATTCAAAACCGCGTTGTCTTTAAACCACAAAATTGCTTGTAAATGAATGCAAGCACGTAAGACAAACCGGTAGCCTTGAATTTTATCAAATATATGTTGAGAATTCAACTCGGTTTCCTAAGAAAACGCGGGAAGCAAGTCTAGGAGTATCTGCTCCTGGTGGTGCAGATCGGATGTGTTACGAATGACAACAGTAAAAAAGCAGTTTGTCCTAAAAGTTCAACAATAATCACGTATGTGTGTGTGTGTGTGTGTGTGTGTGTGTGTGTGTGTGTGTGTGTGTGTGTGTGTGGGTATGTGTGTGTTATTGAATGTACCCCTAAGGAACCCCTTATTTTGGTGATACCCTAAATCCCAGTAAACTCAGAGTAGGTAACTCTTTTAAACACCTTTCTTCGGTGGTGACTCGAAGCCAGTAACCAGTAACCTCTTAGAATTGTATCTGTTGAATTTGTAGGTTATTAAAAGTTGAACCCAACACAAATTTTAAATACGGCCCTAAGGCGCGCTTACCAAGTGGACTGTTTCCATTCGGTGCTAGCTGCAACCATCTCCATATGGAAAATGAAATTCTAACACTTTGTAAAAAACAATTTATTGTGCAAACAATTTGTACACATTTATGTTATTTTTATTTAACAACTACCTACATGCTTAACACTGCATTAAGGTTTCACATTTTATTTTATTTATTATTACTTAAGTAGAAAAGAAATGTCGTGATTTTTATGAGAACACGTCTGACTTGTAACGAAGCACAGACTCGTCTGATTTTGTGTTTTTCAAAAGAAAAAGATACATACATGTCTACATGACTGAAACTAGTTAGCTTTGAGTGTTCCGCGCTAATGCGGCTTGGCGAACGCGATTATTGTCACGTAGACATTTGTTTACAGATGCTAATAATGAACATCTGGATTCACGAGCACAGGACCGTATCTAATAAGTCAGTAAAAGTACTATTATTTAAATTGTAAAGTGCAGTGTTCTAAGGTTTATACCATGTAAGCTTTGCACTGATAAGAAAAAGTCTGGAAGTGCCCTCAAATATTCATATGCAACTTAATTTTCCTTGGTAATTATACCACCATTTGGTTAGTTTTACGTTAACTCAACATTGTTGCCATATTGTGTATGGAGTCGCTTGGTTCTTATGTTAATTGAGGCGTCTAATATTAAATGTAGCAAAGTCCACTTTTCTAAATTTTCCACTACACAACAAAAACTATTTAAAAAATATTATGACGTTACATAAAATTGCTGTTTTGGCTTTTAAGTGTGTAAATAAATTATTTTATGTATATGGCAGTCAAAATCACCGTAGGATTTTGAATAGTACCTATTTTAAATTGGCTATATATATTGGAGTTTGCTGTATTTGATATTTAAGGTTGGAGTTTGCTATATATGATTTGTTCATGAAAGGAGATTGCTGTTTATGATAGTAAACTGGCGTGTCAAAACATCCAAGACTGTATTGAATACACAGTTCTGCATACTAATAACTAATACTGTGATTAACAGAAACTAAAAACAAATGTTTTTCATATTGTCAATAAACAATGTGTCCATGGGCGCCGACCAAAAAATTGCTGGGGGGCAAGTCTTATAGGCAAGTTCAAAATGCCGCAGGCTATAGACGAAAGCCATAGAGTAAAATCCAAAATCGGAAATCCAGTGCGCTTGCCCTCGTGTGGTGGCGCCTATGAATGTGTCCCTTAAAGTTGCCACAAATGAGTAACTTTTTTATTACTAGTTTATTAGTGCAAGCAAGAAACTAAAATGACAACTTTTCCAGTAAACGGCCGCCTGACTGCGTGGGGATAAACTCGTTGAGTATGCACCGTTGACCGTCTGTGTGTATTGTGCTATCTGTCTGCACTCTGTGCTGTGTGATGTGAATTAAGAATAGGCACACAACGACAGATATACCCACAATCCCAAAGCAGCCAGGCCGTTGGCAACGCTGATATTATTCGTTTTCTTCTCGAACTAATGCGAAGTCTACGTAGTTTTCACTCCGATACCAGCAAACCCTATTAGAGGGTTTTCAATAGCAGATACTATATATTAATAAATAAATAAATATATATACAGAGTTGCGCGAAAGTTCGGAATAAAATTAACTGTAACTTAAAAAAAAAAAACGCTGAAACACGTGAATTGATTTTACATTGGACGTATTTGTTGCCAATAAAATGGAATTTTTTTTCTTTAGCTGCAATCTTACCCAACTTTTTTTTTCAAATGCAAAGGTATGTCGTTTGTAGGTCATTGAAAAGTTCGTGAAAATGGAATATCATCATACCCTATTTTTTTTCTTTTACCTATGTGGTTATTGGGAAATGAGAAAAAATTATTTTAAAAACAAAAAAGTTACAAACGACATATCTTTGCATTTAAATGTACTTAATGTAGGAAATTATATGTGTTTCTTATTTTCAATATAGATTTACTAATTGCGATCCTGGAAAAAATGCTGCTTATCTCAATCATTTCGCCTTATTTGCTTTCCAATTTTTGGCATTTTTAACACACTTTCTTGCGTGTTTTTATCTACAGGAGTACAAGAGACCTCCATTTTATGAATTTTCACTAAACAATTCTTAAGATTTTGTTATTATATACTAAAAAACAGAAATTAACTATGCACGTGTTGTTACAAACTGACTACAGCTACCATACTGGTTAAACTATTTGTTATTGGCTGAAAGTGACTTTGCTACTTTTGTTATGTCAAATCTGGAGATTGCTGTTTCTGATACAAACTTACAACTTTGCTGAATGGTTTTAACGGCTTATTTCTGTTTTTGTTACAAAATAAGATCTGATATTTTAATAAACAAACATTCCAAACTGGTACGACACAAAAAGCTTCAATCGGAAAATTTGTAGTTTTGTGCTTTTGACCCTGAATACGCTAGTTCAGTGTGATGTCATTTTGGTTCCACTGACATTTAATTCTAATCAAACTTTTAACAAAAACATCAATAAATTTGACATATACGTTTTTACTGTTTTTAGTTTATTTCTTAATATTGTTACAGGTCATAAAAATAGTTTAAAGGTATATGTAATTGGTAACTAAACGATTGTATATTTGATGCATGGTATCTACTTATTTTAGGAATATATTTATAAAAGTGAAAGGGGTCTATTCTGTAACAATTCCTTTATATTTAACGGCCTTTAAAAATATTTTCTTTTTTACTTCTGTCATTATTTAAACGGATTTTTTAAATACATTAGAGGACTATCTTAAAGAAATCTGTTTAAATAATGACAGAAGTAAATTAACGAATACGAACATATTTTTATAGGCCGCCAATATTTTTAAAGGCCGTTAAATATAAAGGAATTGTTACAGAATAGGCCCCAAAAAACTATATAATTTAAGTAAACAAAACGAACGAAACGCACTCAAAAAATCTACTGTCACTTTAATTGTCAGTGGAACCATAATTACATCATCACTGAACCAGCGCATTATTTTTGAATGTTCTTCCAATACGGAATATTTATTAACAGTAATTTTTTATTCATATCCCCCTCCTTTCAGTTACCTTATTTTGAAAAGTAGTTTAAAAATCGAAGATACATGTGCAGTCATGAGTCGTTGTCCATCGCTTTATACAGTCCACTGATAGATTAAACTACATATTTTAGGCCGTGGCCTACACACTATATGTGGGATAGATATCAGGTTTTATTTTCTCATTGAAAAAGAAATTTGAGAGGTTGGATTCCACTCTAAGTTCAATAATTATTAAATATTCATTATTTATTTAAATTATTGTAGGTATTAGAACACGGTGTAGGTCTTTCAACCCATTCTGATAGCGAATTGATAACGCAAGCCCTTTGCCTCAATCCTCCTGAAGGAGAACCCGATGGTGAACCAGACTGGCCAGCCAGAATCAAACACTTCATGGCTTTAGCACCATTGAGCTACTCTTTAGTTATTATGACTAAAAACAGAATATACGCAGTCAGAGATCCATATGGAAACAGACCTCTGTGCCTGGGAAAGATTTTGCCAGTCAACGAACGTAAGTGTAATGTAAATTCTCTATTAAACTGTTTATTTTTCTCTTAAAATGTGTGAACACCAATCCATAAAAACTAATTTTTAGCACTCGATGGAGAATGTGATGAAAGCAGGGAAGCAGAAGGCTGGGTAGTATCATCAGAATCTTGCGGTTTCTTATCCATTGGCGCTCAATATGTCCGCGAGGTATTCCCCGGTGAAATAATCGAAATGACACGACACGGCATCCGAACAATAGATATTGTTGCTAGACCCGAAGATAAACTGCAACAAGCCTTCTGCATCTTTGAGTACGTTTACTTTGCCAGAGCGGATAGTATATTTGAAGGGCAGATGGTGTACAATGTAAGAATGCAGTGTGGAAGACAATTGGCTATTGAACACCCTGTAGAAGCAGATATTGTAAGCGCGGTGCCTGAATCTGGTAATGCTGCTGCGCATGGATTTTCAAGACAGGTAAGACAAGTTAGTTAAGTCGTCTTTAATAACCATTTAAATCGATATTGTATTTGTTTCAGAGTGGTATTAGATTTGCTGAAGTTTTATGTAAGAACAGATATGTAGGACGTTCATTTATTCAGCCTAGTAATCGCTTGAGGCAACTTAGCATTGCTAAAAAATTTGGTGAGTAAAGTTTATTGTCAAATAAAACAAAAATCATCCATTATCTTTCTTCTATTTTATTAAGTCATTAACATAATGAACAACTTTCCTTAAAACAATTTTTTCGAATCTTCTAAATTAAAGTTTATTCCTATAAAACGTGTCTTTAAAAACGTCCATATACGAACAATGTGAACTCATGTTTGGCATTTCACAGTAGCCCTATATGTGGTTGCATTATTCAAAAATATAATTTCCTAACATACCTAATGAAAACTTCGGACCCTTTTTTAAAAATCCGGACTTATATCTTTTCAAAATCAGGACTTTTCTTTTAAAAATCCAAAAATTTCTTTTAAAAATCCTGACATTTCTTTAAACATACGGACTTTTCTTTTCAAAATCAGGACTTTTCTGTTGAAATCCGGACTTTTCTTTTAAAAATCCGGACATTTCTTTTAACATCTGGACATTTTTTTTCAAAACCGGGAGTTTTCTTTAAAATATCCGGACTGTTATGTAAAAATCCGGGCATTTCTTTTAAAATCCTGATATTTCTTTTCAAAATAAGGACTTTTCATTTAAAAATCCGGACATTTATTACCAAAATCGGTAGTTTGGTTTAAAATATCCGGACTGTTATGTAAAAATCCGGACATTTATTTAAAAATCCAGATAATTCTTTAAAAATCTGGACATTTTTTAAAAATCCGGACATTTGTTTAAAAACCCGGAAAATGAAACTACAACTTATGAAATAATTATTAAACTTTTTATTAAAAAAATGTACGTTCTAAGGTTTTAAATTTAAAATTTCCGGAATATTTCGGACAAAACGCAAAAATTCCGGACATATCCGAACGTTTCTTATTGTCTGGTATTAATCCTAGTCACAAAACATCCTTTATCCGAGAATTTATTAAAAAAAACGACAATCCCTTCACTGATTTTTGCTTTTTATAAATTCAGACATTTCTTTAAACTTCCGCAAATTTCTTTAAAAATCCGGACATTTCTTTTCAAAATCGCGACCTATTCTTTAAAATATCCGGTCTGTTATGTAAAAATCCGGATAATTCTTTAAAAACTGGAAATTTTTTAAAAATCCGGACAATTCTTTTCAAAATCAGGTCTTTTTTTTAAAGATCCGGATATTTCTTTAAACTTCTGGAAATTTCTTTTAAAAACCGGACATTTCTTTTCAAAATCGGGACTTTTCTTTAAAATATCCGGATTGTTATGTAAAAATTCGGACATTTCTTTTAAAAATCCGGATAATTCTTTAAAATCTAGTCGTATTTTAAAAATCCGGACATTTCTTTAAAAACCCTGTCAAAATAATAAAACTCCAACCATGAAATAATTACTAAACTTTTTATTATAAAAAAATTACGTTCTAAGGTTTTAACTTTAAAATTTCCGACATATTCCGGACAAAACGCAAAAATTCCGGATATATCCGTACGTTTTCTATCGTCTGGTAATAATCCTAGTCCCAAAACATCCTGTATAAACCGAGAGTTTATTAAAAAAACAACAATCCCTTCACTCTTTTTTTGCTTTTTAAAAACCCAGATATTTCCTTAAACTTCCGGAAATGTCTTCAAAAATCTGGAAATTTCTTTTCAAAATCGGGGCCTTTCTTTAAAATATCCGGACTGTTATGTAAAAATCCGGACATTTCTTTAAAAATCCGGATAATTCTTTAAAAATCTGGACATTTTTTGAAATCCGGACATTCATTCCAAAATCAGGACTTTTCTTTTAAAAATCCGGACATTTCTTTAAACTTCCGGAAATTTCTTTAAAAATTTGGACATTTATTTTTAAAATCGGGACTTTTCTTTAAAATATCCGGACTGTTATGTAAAAATCCGAACATTTCTTTAAAAATCCAGATAATTCTTTAAAAATCTGGAAATTTTTTAAAAATCCGGACATTCCTTTAAAAACCCGGACAAAATAATAAAACTCCAACTTATGAAATAATTACTAAACCTTTTATTAAAAAAAATCTACGTTATAAGGTTTTAACTTTATAATTGCCGGCGTATTCCGGACAAAACGCTAAAATTCCGGACATATCCGAACCTAGTCACAAAACATCCTTTATAAACCGAGAGTTTATTAAAAAACAACATCTTTTTCACTAATTTTTACTCGAAATTTGAAAATCGCTTTCCCATCAATTAACATATTATTCATCTATAAATTTTGTTACGACCTTAAAACACCAATTTGTATTTTGTTTTTGACAGGTGCTTTGGCAGGCAACGTTAAAGGCAAAAAAGTAATTCTCATAGACGACTCGATCGTACGTGGAAACACAATCGGGCCTATAATTAAACTGTTGAAAAATGCAGGAGCAAAAGAAGTGCACGTCAGGGTGGCCAGTCCGCCACTAAAATTCCCGTGCTACATGGGAATCAACATTCCAACCAGAGAAGAACTTGTTGCGAACAAAATGACTTCTTACGAGCTAGCTAGACAAGTTGGTAAGTCAAAATATTTTACACGATATCTATTACAAATAGCCCAAGAGCCCACTGCAAATTTTTACCGCCATCTAAGGAGAAAGTCATCCTCATTAGGACTCGTCAGCAATAAATGGAAGTTCTCGACTCCAGTCTCTAATGGAGTCTGTAGGATAAAAATTTCGATCGAACTCTATTACGGCGGGTCGAGCATGAGTAGATGCGATAGTGGTATCGCCATCTATACTTAGTAAGCAGAATCAAATAACATCTAGTGGATATCCACGACGGTTTGCGTTCGCGCCTAGACTTTGATATATTTAGTGGATGTTCATGGGATATTGAATACACCTTAAAAAAATTAATTTTAAATATCTGAACGGTACTATTAGCCACAATGGCGTAATTTTTTAATAATTTGCTATATAATTACTATTATTTATGGACATTTGCATGTCTATAAATTACATCTCATGGATATAAAATATATATCTACCATGGACTGGACATTCAGTGGATATTGGGATGTTCAGTAGATATCCAAAGGATTTGGTGTGCTGTCTGGGTAGAGTGTGTTTTAATCCCTTCGAATTTTCACTATCACTCACTTTAGTCTCTTGGTACATAATATACTCTTAAAATTAGTTATTGTGTCTTAATAACCTAAAATAATTTTTTAAAATTGTAGATTTTCGTTAGTGGGACGTAGAAAAAATATACTGTACAACTTGAGTGGATTGTCTATATCTACTCTTGTTTCATAAACTAGGTACTAAGTATTGTATTTTGAACTTTGTAGAAACAATACCAGATTTGTTTTTTCTCGATGTCCAAAACACGTCTGTAAAATATTGACTATGAGTTTGACAACACCCTTTATATCATTATATTACTTTTGTATAAATTATAATTAAATAAGAAACGATTCATTGCAGGTGCTGATAGCTTGGAATACTTGTCTCTGGAAGGTTTAATCAAAGCTGTAAGATCAGACATTAAAACGAAAAATGCTCATACAAAAGTGGGTCACTGCACTGCCTGTCTATCAGGAATATATCCAGGTGGCGTACCAAATACAAATTCTGACTATGACTGGTAGTTATTAGATTAAGACACGAACTGATTAATTAGTTTTGTAATTTTTATAAATCTAATTATCATTTTTACAATTACTAAGAATTATTTAATTAAATAAGGACGGCTCCAATGGGTGCCATAGGCGCAATGGCCCTCCGAGATTAAATTTTTTATTTTATAATCCATGAGCCTTTTATGCTAAAAAAGGGAATTATTATTGGCAATGCCCTCCTCCCTCCCCCTTCACCGAAAATTCAGTGTGGAGCCGTCTGTGTATTTAAAGTAGTTTATAGGTTTTAATTTAATTTTAGCGATAGCTTAAAAGACATGTTACTTTTTAAAATATTTTAAACGGACCGAGAAAGAATAAAATATTTTAAGGAGACTGTTCAGCTCTCTAAAAACGTTTGAATATTATCTTTAATAAGATAAAATACATTTTATTTACGAATAATTTATTTTTTATATGTATGCGTTTTTGTATATCTGTTGTTTTAAAAATAAATATATATTTATACGATTTTTTTTATTTTATTTTATTATTTGCTGTTTTATGATTTTTATAATCGACAGGAAGATCTTCGATTTTCTATTAGAAAACGATTCAGAAGATATCGACATTGATGGCGAGATGGCAAAAAATAAATATCACTCTTTAATTAAAAGTAGAAAAATATTTAAATAGGTATAAGAACCGTTAGAGCTAGTCTAATTCATCATTTCAAAGTAAAATATTATTTCCAAAAATTGAATTTACGAAATTTGAAGATGTTCAGAATTGGCTGCTCTTCTGCTCGAGTCAATTTCGTAGGATTCACTCAATTCGCAACATTAAGGCCACTCCGCTACGCGTCGTGGCCCTAAACTCGTTGCTTAGGGTGACCAGACGTCAGGATAAAGCAGGACATGTCCGGCTTTTTCGCTTAAATGAAAACGTCAGGCCGGCTTTTTGTCGGCTTTTTATCAATCGAAAATTCTAAATAACTAGAAACGCACATTATCATTATTCCTGGTTCCGACTTTCTCAAGCTGGCAAGTGCGCAGTGGACTAAAGAAAGAAACCGTTTATCTATCTATCGAATCAATAAAAAGCCCCATTTAATGTTAAAATTTAATTTAAAAACGTTTTGTGAGGAATATTATAATTATTTGATGGACAATCCCAATATTTTAAAAGAAATTGGTTCTTCTGAAAAGTATAAGTAGTTTTTACCTAAGTAAAAAATGTTACATCTTTTTATATAAATATATTTGTTAAATGTCAGGTTTTTTTTATTAAAAATCAGGCTTTTTTGTCCTGGTTGTCCTACTTTTCTGCAAATAAATCTGGTCACCCTACGTTGCTCATGCTTTAAAGCAGCCCTGCACAACTCAGATATTCAAAGGGCCAGTTTGAGAAACCGTAAGTGTACGAGGGCCAAGAGAGACCTGAACCTATAGTGATCTGTTCAAAAAAAGGTCCTCACGTTATAATTCTGCCGAGCTTATAATTTATAAACCAATTCCGCGGCCCATATGTTGTGCAGGCCTGCTTTCTGCGCTTTTTTTGCATTAATAATAATAGCAAAATGTCATCGTCTTCTGCTTTTTCTATAAGCAACTGTTCTGCAATCACAAGTTCACTAGTAATCATTTTTATCGAACGAAATAAAAAAAATACTGATTGGCGACTAGTCGATCACTTGATGTGACGACGTAAACAGATCACTAGGTGCGATCAGGTGCGTCTAGACGTAAGCGATTAAGCGCCGCGTCTAAACATCTCGACTACTCGCCCACAAGATTAATTCTACAGGATGCGCGCAAGGTGCAATGTTGAGTGTATCTCAACAACTATACACATGTGAGAGAAATACAAATTGTACTAATATAAAATATTCCTTTATTACTTTAAAATCTCTTTACCAATGTAATTGTTTATTTTCACTAGCTAGTCTTTCGATATCGTCTATATGTTTAGGACATTTATAGCTTAAGAGTACAGGGCCATTTTCAGTTATCAAAACGTCGTCTTCTATTCTAATACCAATGCCTCTGTAATTTGCTGGTAATAACATGTTATTTTCATTTATATAAATACCTAAAAATATAGGGACGTGTTATTTTCAGAGCCCGCGCGTTAATAGAGGCCATTCCAGGTACGGACTTCACTTTATCAAAACATTTCGATACCTTTTTGCCAGACTATCGTAAGTGCCATTTGAACAAATGTCGCTTACGTTAGTCTGGCAAAAAGGTATCGATTTGTCGATTTAATATTAAAACATTTCTGACTATTAACTAGAAATTATATAATTAATGACGTTAAATTAAAGTAAATACAGAAATTTATGGATATTCCTTAGACTGAGATCACGAATACAAGTTAGCAAGGGAAAGGGGTAAAACTTCCACATAAAACTGTGGATCTTCACTCCCAAATGATATGGTAACATATCCTTTCATAAAAGCCTTTTAAAAAGGAGACTGATGTCGCCAACTTCAACTGGATTTAGTCTGGATACGGTGTTAAAGAGTGTGAATTACAAAAGTACGAAAGTATGTTTGTGTTCTTACCAGGTATATTATAAAGATAATGTTACCTTTCACCCTACAGTGTGCTGCGGTCGCCATAAGTAAAAGTACGAGTAAAAGAAGAATAGTCCAGAAAAGTCTGAAGAGGAGGAAAAGGAGAGGCGTAGAAAGGAAGGAGAGGAAGAAAAATAAAGACATAAAAAAGAAGAAGAGGGCTAGGAAAGTCGTAGGAAGGGCGAAGAAGAAAGGAAAAGACGAGAAGAGGAGAGAGAAAGGTACAGGAAGGACGAAGAAGAGAAGAAGGAGGATAAGCGTAGAAAAGAAGCAATTGAAATTATGAATGGTTTGCTACAAATCCAGGAAACCTTCAAGCAAGAGGTACATCAGCTTAACATTAGAGTTGATCTTTTGGCACCACAGCAAGAGATTTTAAAAACTAATGTAAAACAACAGCAAGAGAAATTAAAAACTAATTTGGAGCAACAACAAGAGCATCTAAAAACTAATTTAGAACAGCAGCAACAGAATTTCTTGTTTCGGGCCCTTTTCTGCCATTACAAAGGTCACATTTCTTACACCAGTCTTCTATATCCCGTCGGCAATTGACAAAATACAAACTTTTCCGAACTCCAGCAAGTGTCCTTTTAGTACCAAAGTGTCCTCCTGAACGGCTGCTATGAAACATACTTGGCGGACTACATGCACTGCATCAGGGCTCTCCCACTTCCGGTGCAATCAAAGCCGATAAGAGCCTCCCTCTTATTGGCAGCTGGGACTAATTCCCGGGACCCGGGCTCAAATGGGGGCCCAGCAGCAGTATAAGGGGGGCCGACAACCGTGGCGAAGATTTTCTTTTTCTTTCAGAAGTTCGGCACAAGACAAGAGGGGGAAGTTTTTGCTTGGGGGCTATTTTTAGAAAATTCAATTAGAAGAGGAGAAGTTTTGAAGTTTTTTTTGTTGGAAGACCTTAGAGAAATTTAAGTAAAGAGGAAGAGAATTTTTTTATAAAATTGTCACGGGGCCCGGTTTGGAGAATTGTCCTGGGACCCGAGCTGGTTCTCAGCGGCCCTGGGTACAATAGGCCATCGTGAAGATACAGGGAATCCCACTAAGTCCAGTACCCTTTAATAGTTCTACTATATTTGGCTACCTCTTGTCATGTAAGTCTGCCTTCATTTTTGAGCCATTCTCGGACAATATTCAAGTCATTGTCTTTCTTTTGAGTCTTTCTTAGGCTTTCAAGGGTAATTCCGTCTTCGTCATCCTCTGGCTTGATAGTGGTCGTCTGAAGACTAACTTCTTCAACCAGCTCCTCTCGTTCTTCAAGCCTTTTACAGTTACTTCCCTAAGAGGAACCCAGCTATTCATCTCTCGTTCAAGCTTTGGACACAAGGTACGGCCAACAGCATTTGAAGCAGATATTCCAAAGCCAGCTAAAAGTTCGTAGTCAGAAACACAACGAGAGTCTACAAGAATTCGAAGCCGATGTAAAAAGATTGCAGATCAGGAATACGAAGCAGCAAAAATGATATCTAGGTCCTCTCGCACAAAATTGAGAGAAATTAGATTCCATAAGTAAAAGTACGAGTAAAAGAAGAAGATATAATATTCCAGAAATGTTATTCTGTGTCAAGAAAAATCTGGACAGTCAATGATCAGTTTTCATCGACTTATATAGCTTGCTTGGCCCTTCTCGAATCTTCTCGAACTGTCCAGATTTTTCTTGACAAGGAATGACATTTCCAGACATATCTTTCTATCTTCTTCTTTTACGCGTACTTATGACGACCGTAGCACACTGTAGGGTGAAGGGTAACATTGTACTTCTTTTTGTATTCGTACGTTTCCTATAATAGCCACAGGCGGCAGGGCAACAATGTTATTCACAATGTAATAATTTACTATACTTTTAGTTGATTAATAATCGATAATCATATAGCGTACTTCTAATAGCTGATAATCATGTTTGGTACATTAATTTTGTAAAATCATATTTTATTAATTCGTGAAAGTATCCATTAAATACAACTTTTGATATTGGTTAATCACATAAATTAATGATAAATATATCTGTTTGCCAAAGAGCAATTTAATTATTTTGGGCTAATAACCCAAATTATAACAAAATATACAACAATTCCAAAATCCCTAAACTTAGCGATAGCAGAAAATCCAAAATTGAGTATTTAACTTAATTGAGTTAATTTTTCAAAAGATCTTATAAATATTTTTTAAGACTAACCAGGTTCTATTGTTATAATCATTCCCGGTTTCATTTCAATGTTTCTCTTTAATGTGGGAGTATCATGAACGTCCATTCCCAAGTAATGTGATGAATGATGGGGACATAATTGATTAGTAACCTAAAAATAAATTAATTTGTTATAGATCATGAATGGTAAGTGTAAATTTTAAGTTAAACCACGCCATAATTCAGACAGATTAATAAATTAACCAAATAAAATCATTTTGTTAACATTGTTCAAATATATGTCCGAATTTAAACACTAAAGATTCTAACGCCGACCCTGTCACATATTGGAATCTAGCAATCGAATTAATCACCGAAGCACGCGTAAAATTCATTGAAGTCAAAATGTTAGAAGTATAATAGGCTAACATGGAAGTTTCAGCAGGCTTTCGTATCTTACATCACATCGAGCACCACATTTCATATTTTGGTAACAAAAAACCGGCATTTACATTCTTAATTTCCACACGACTCATTTCAGATAAAAAAGTGAAGTTCGGGATAGAGAATCAACACATCTTTTTCGATGTAATGTGTGTTACCTTTAACTTTATTGTAATTGCATTTACGGGTCAGAATCTGACGAATTAAAGCTACTTCAAATTAAAATGACATCAAGAAATTTTTATTTAATGTGGTGGTCGTCTAAATGTTTAAAACATAATGTGATGTTTGTTTATTTTCAAACAACAGTTTATTTATTAATAATTTATTTAAACACTTATTTATTGATAACACTACTATTTCTAATTTATATAAATTTCGAATGTCTTTGAATCGTTCACTATTTATATTCACAGTCCAATACTTTATTGTCAGCTGTCTATATATCACTGATTACTATTTATCTTCACTGTCCATATAATAACTGATTTTGATGGCTCTCCTCCACCAATTTATATACAAATTGGTGATCTAGAATGCTCCCCCACCAAAATTGCCAGTATGTACCAGAAACGTTATCACGTTCTAGAAATAGTATCTCGTTGATCCTGGAATGTTCGCGAAAGTGTCTCCACCATAGTCGTCCCATAGGTTTGGTCTTAAGGGGTTTAATTATGTATAATAATCGGACAAGTTGAGCCTCAAAGGCCAAATAAGACAGAGAGGGACTTGTAGGGTTAGAGCATGACTGAATAATGAAATGGCTCACATTACAATAACTTTTAATGCTGGAATTACTCTCGCCTTGTGTTTATCTAATGTTAATTGTATTAAGATCAATTTTGCTACGACCATTTTAAAAATATTAACAAAAATGAATAATTTCCGCATAAAGTGATGTTTACCTGCATTAAATAAAAAGTAGATTCCTGTTTAGGTAGTAATCCAATATGCTGCAGCTTTTTTCCAACTGAATATAACATAGTTTCGAATAAGTAGTCTAAAGTTGTAAATTTGTTACACAATTCTATCAGCTCTAGATTTACATCGTAAACTATTTTATAAATATTGCGTTGTTCAGGTGTAAATTTCCCACTAATCGGCCATGTTCTTGAAATGTCGCTACAGTAGCCATGATATTCACAACCTAAAATATTTTCTAAATTTAGTAAAATTACTATATTTAAGAAAGATAATTTCTTGCCTGCATCCATTAATACTAAATCTCCATTTTTTACTATCTGATTGTTATTAATATAATGAATAATACACGCTCTATTGCCGCCAGCTATAATAGGTGGATACGCCAAGTTTTCAGCTCCCATTAGTTTACATTCATAGTCAAATTTGGCATTTAGTTGACTTTCAACCATACCTAAAAGAATACAGGTATAAGAGAATACTTTTTGTAGTTAGTACAGATAGGATGCTAGTTATTTTTGAAGTGAAAACTTCTTTTAAAGCCCCTTGTATAACTTTTTTCATGGGTTTTGAATGAATGAGACTGAGCCGGCTCATTGGCAGTGTTGCCAAAGATTAAAAACAAAATTACACGTATTTAAAACAGAAAATACACGAAACAAGACAATTTTACACGGTTTTTCTTCATTTTTTTAATGGTTTATGTTCAAAGGTATTGGCTATCTTTATCGTTTTTTCTTTGCATTTTTAATGATTTTTGAATCGATGACAGTTTCAATTACATACAAATGCGCGGGCAAGATTTGTGTCTGAATATGTACTTAAGAAATTTTTGTGGATCTCAAAAACTTTTATCAAATAATTATTATCTGTAATTTTTACTTGTCATGGTCGATTTTATCTAAATACAAAATATCTAACTGACAAAAACAGACAATTGCAAGAACGATTGTTAAAATCTCTCGTTAGCTAATGAACCCATAACTTTATTGATTCCCTAAATTATCTTCTAAATGATAAATTTTCCAAATGACAGTATGAAGTAAAGTACGACAATATTCGAGGTACGTCCCTATCAAGAATTATCTGTCTTTGTCGACCCATTTAATAAAACACACTGCAGGTGAACACGAACGATATGTTATATAATATTTGACCTCCATCTATACAGTATTTGGTCAAATTTAAAATAAACAGTGACAAAGGACCGTCGCTTATTTAAAATAGTCTGCCTCGGCCCAGTCAGTGATTCTGTCTCAAACAAATAACAGTGCTTTTATGATATGGATTTTGGCATCTATTTCAAAGCAAAGATTATTTTGTGAAACGATTTTAATCATACACAGTTTATTACACGAACATAGTCGAAAATACACGAAAATCGTGTAATTACACGGTCATTGGCAACACTGCTCATTTGGACAAACTCGGCTCGAGTCTATTTCAGCCAAGCCGAAGAGAAAGACGGTCAACAAAGTGCTACTCTAGTCTACCCAGACAACACGCCAAATCCCAGAGATATCCACAGAATATCTTTTGTGGATATCCAATATATCTACAGGATATCAGAAATATTCCGTGGATCTAATATGGATATCCAAATGTCCGTCTATATCCAGAATATAGAAGATATCCTAATGGATATTCAGCAAAATATCTAATGGGTATCTTCCAGAAAATACAAGAAATCTCAGAGGTATCCACAGAATATATTTTGTGGATATTCAATATATCCAATATGGATATCCAACCAAATGTCCGTCTATATCCCAGGATATAGAAGATATTCGGATATTCAACAAAATATTTTATGGGTATCTTTAGTAGAGGTTCATAAGTAACCAATGATTATTGAATAACGTCGAAAGAAAACAGCAGAGATAAAAAATATTTTCAACACTCTGCCTTTGATTTTGCCCACCAAGGAGAAAGTCATCCTTATTAGGACTCTTCAGCAATAAATGTAAGTTCTCGACTCCAGTCTCTAATGAAGTCTGTAGGACAAAAATTTCGATCGAACTCTATTACGGCGGGTCGAGCATGAGTAGATGCGATAGTGGTATCGCCATCTATACTTAGTAAGCAGAATCAAATAACATCTAGTGGATATCCACGATGGTTTGCGTTCGCGCTTAGACTTTGATATATTTAGTGGATGTTCATGGGATATTGAATACACCTTAAAAAAATTATTTTTAAATATCTGAACGGTACTATTAGCCACAATGGCGAGCACAATGGCGTAATTTTTTAATAATTTGCTATATAATTACTATTATTTATGGACATTTGCATGTCTATAAATTACATCTCATGGATATAAAATATATATCTACCATGGACTGGACATTCAGTGGATATTGGGATGTTCAGTAAATATCCAAAGGATTTGGTGTGCTGTCTGGGATAGTTTCTTCAAATCGAGTTTTTCTGAGCTGGTGTTGTCATAACCCATGACACAGGATCAATATAGTAACCAGAGATAAAGCCACTTATTGATAAAATATAATATTTACGATGCCAAGATTAATTCGACAATAAATACAATGTATTTATACGGACGGGGCGAGGAGATGAAAGGTCAGAAGTAAGAGAGGGGATAAAGAGAAGAATTTTACGCAAATACAACTTTTTTTATCAATGAATAAATGTGTAATCCGCTGTGCGCTTATAATCGACAACGTAAATATCCATACCGGTGTAAGCCCTGTTGCCACTTCCAACATAACTTGACTAGGTTTTGGAATTTATTGAAAATTATTACATCTAATTTAGTGAAATTAGATTTAATTTAGTTAAATTTGATATGACTAATGATTCAAAATTTTTTGGGTTCAGTTGTAATAAAACAGGTTGAATTATTTTAGCTTTTTTAATGTAAGTAAATAAATTTTTAAACAAAACGAGAATAATGAAATAGGCATATGACAACAGCAGATATTATACCCTCCTGTGTCCCTTAGAATATGTCTTATTCAGGACCGCACGATATTTGTTAGTAGTTACATCTCCTGTTATCTCTGATAGTAACAGTCCAGAAAAACGCGTCATACATTGTGTCGATATTTACATCAGTGGCGTGGCCACGGAGGGGGGTTTGGGGGTCAGAACCCCCCATAGAGGGTCCTCGCCGCCATTTCCACTATATTATTGGCGCTGATCGTTATTAACTGTTTGTTTTTATTCACTTTCTTCATGGAACTCCCCCCATAGTTCTCAAAAACCCCTTTCATGAAAAATGGCTGGCTACGTCAATGATTCACATTATATTTATATTACGAAATTTAAACAGGAAGTATAAAGAGAGTAAAATTTAGAAATATTGAGATACGCTTTTTGAGCTTAGGACGGCAGTACTACTGCTACAAAAGTAGGTACTCACCTGGAGTAGAATGCTTTATTGTTTCAATGAAAGCTTCACCAGCAATATCACAGGATTTTTGCATTAAAGCAATTTCTGCTGGACTTTTATAAATCCTCAACTGTTGTATTAATAACTTGGGATTTTCGCAATTTTTGTTTCCAGTCTCCGACATGATTTTTTCTACTATAGAATGGACATAATGTTGAACCGGTGTTAGATAATCGTACCTAAAAATAAATTATCTCGACAAATTTTGTTGTACCAGTACATGTTTTTAGTTCAAAGTACTCAATATTTTCCCTTTAACAAACGAAATTTACCAAAGATTCATATGGCCCATCGAATTCCTAAATGAACTAATGAAATTTTCCAGTCCGCCGATTGGTAAACTCTGATTAACACCGAAGAAATCAGCGGCATCTTCGGCATGAGTTCGAGGCCCATCCCATATTTCTGCATTGTCGTCTTTGTTTCTGGTGAACAAAGTTGTAAAGAAATGTTGATCAGTTATTGTTAGAACAGCACAGCAATCGGGTTCTAAACAACCAGTCAAGTATAGGAATTCTGTGTTTTGACGGAAGAAATAAGGGATTTTGGCAGACATGTACTGAGTTGAAGCAGCTGGAATAATTATCTGCAATTTAAAATAAAGCAATTTAAGACTACTGTATTTTATGGTTTATTCTGTATTTACAAACCAAATGATTATTAGACTTCAAGTTGTTTTTAAATGAATAATTTCTTATAGCATCTACAAGGTTACATCTTCTGTTACCATATTCAATTTTTGTTATTAACGGTGTTACTTCTCCTTTTTTGATAATATGAGGATGGGTGTCGTTGGTAGGTTGTCCTAACGTTTTTATTCCAATTAATTTAGTTTGGTTATACATTGCAATGATTTAATTAGTTCTAGAATATAATAATGTTGTTTTTATGAGTTGGGGGCTAAAAAAACAAAAATTACTTACCGAATTTATGAGGTAATGTAAAGTTTAGGATCATTACACACATGTTTTTTAATATCACAGCTAATTTTAAAAAAGTTTAAATCTATGTTGCACACATTTTTGGTTATGTTTGATGTTTTTTATGTCAAAATGACAATTCCAAACAAACTTTTGTCATTTAAGATCGTATTAATTTTTTTAAATTTTTTCATTGGCCTACAATTCTAAAGAAAGTGTGCAACAGCCAAATGGAATGAAATAGCTCAATTATACAGAGTGTCCAGAAATGCTCTTCAAAGAATAAAACCACGAAATCTGAAACTGATTTTATGACGATTTAATCCAAAAATGCTTCCTAAGGGAGCTAGAGCTCTTTGAAGATAGCGCTCTAAAATCGGTTTAATTGAACAAGAGCATCATGTTTGTGTGAAAATAACGAAAAATTTTAAATATGATATCAAAATGGCGAATTTTTGAAAGAAAAAAAAAATTAAATAAAAATATCCAATACCTCTCAAGCTTATAACTACATTAAAAAATCTTATTTACGAAATTTGATTGGTTAGATTCAAATAAATAAATAAATAAATAAATGTACAGAATAATATCATTTAATGAAAATCCGTTTTGAAGGTATTTCAATTAAACCGATTTTAGAGCGCTATCTTCAGAGAGCTCTAGCGTCCTTAGGAAGCATTTTTACTTTCCTATCTGTATACAGATATAAGGAAAGTATAGGAATCATGATTATTTTCGATCTCGAGTTTTCGACTGATTTTTACATTTTAGAGGTTCCCTGAATCCGTTTTGACTATTTTCGCGATTATGTCTGTCTGTGTGTGTATGTCTGTGTGTGTGTGTGTCTGTATCCACCCTAACTCATGAACCGATACACAGAAAAACACCAAATTTTAAACTTAAGCTTTATTCTATCATCCAATAAACTGATTAGATTTTGGGCAGAGTCGGAACATCTGGGGGAGGGGGGGGTACTTTATAGGTGGTCATTTTTATATTTTATGGAATATATCTGTTATTTACGTTTGGAGAAGAAAATTCTTCAAATAAAAGTTACTTTTAATATTATCTATAATTTTTGTTTTATACAAAATTTTCCTAAAATGGTCCGTATTCGAGAAATTTGACAAAATGTAAAAAAAAATTATTCAAATAAAAGTTGTTTGTAATTCTCTATAATTTTTGTTCTATACATAATTTCTCTAAAATGGACCGTATTCGAGATATTTGAGAAAATGTGTAAATTTCGAAATTTGAAGAAAACTCAAAAACGGATAAAGAAAAAAATATTAATGTTTTCATTGTTGCCTTCTTTGTCGAGAAGCAAACTTCTATCGCCTCCAGGAGCTAACTGTTTTATGGAGACTCTAGATTCTTTTCCTGTACTGTTCCGTACTGGTGCATAGCCAGGATTTGTTTGTATCACTTCCACTCTTCCTCTACTAGTGGATCATATTTACTTTGAAGAACATTTTTCTTTATTAGAACTATGTTAGATGGTGATAACCAAGTTGGGAGGGAAGTTCCGTGGGAAGCTGTACAATCGGGTATAAATATCCATTCATGTAATGTACAATTCGTAGAGGTGCATAATAGAGATCGAATTGAGTGTAAAGCATCAGGTAACACCAATTCCCACTGGGTAGGTTGTAGTTTTCTGGTTTTTAGTGCCAAATTAATATTTTCCAAATTATACCATTATATCGTTCAACCTGCCCATTGCATTCTGGGTTATACGGGGTAGTTCTACTTGTCGATATATTATGAGAATGAAGGAAAGTTACGAGTTCTTTAGAAATAAAGGAAGTTCCTTTGTCTGAATGAATATATGATGGCAACCCAAACACAGAGAATAAAGAGCTTAGACAGTGGATCACAGTAGAAGAATTCATGTTTGCGCAAGGGAAAGCGAACGGAAATCGGGAATACTCGTCAACAATAGCAAGAATATATTTATTGGCAGTGTTTGTAGGTAAAGGTCCTTTAAAGTCAATGTTTAAATCGTTCAAAGACACTCGTAGCTTTAATAAGATGGGCATTAGGGTTTTTGTAAAAACGCGGCTTAATCTCAGCACACATTAGACAGTCTTTAGTTATTTGTTTAATGTCCTCTAGAGAATACGGCACATTTCGAGACCGTATCAAGTGATCATGGGCGTCGTTACACAATTCTATAGGGGGGGGGCAAAATTAAAAAAAAAAAATTAGAATGCTTATTTGTTGAAGAACAGAGAAAATGAAAAATAAAAGAGCAATACAAATTAACAAAGTTTCTAATAAATAAAATAACAGAAGGTGTGATATGAAAGAAAAATATGAACAAGAAGATAGAGCCATACATAATATAAAAAAATAAAATATTTATAGAAACACAAAAAAAAATCACTCAAACACGTCGACGAACAATAGAAAATCGCAAATTTTTAATTTCTTCTTCCTCTACCTAAAATAATTGATAACAGAAAACATGATTTCTTTTTAGCGATTATTTTTCGATCTACGCTCATCATGCAAAGCGCAGTCAGCCTATTTTCATTCGCTCTGTGCGTGACAGCAGCGTCAACTAATTTATGAACTAACGGACGATATTTGCGTATACTGACAATACAATATTCAATGGAATTTCTAATTAAAAAAAAAAAATATATATATATATATATACAGGGTGGCTCACGCTCAACGGGACGGAGCTTTATGGGAAAACGACCGAAGATATAAAAAATTCGTTTGGGAGGAATACGTAGGTTACAGACGGCTACAAGTTAAAATTTGTTAGATGTATACAGGATGTCCCACATAAGAAAAAAAAATTAGTTCATTAAAAATTATTCAAACAAGAGTAAACAATTAATTTCTGGGAGACTTTTTTTCCTTAAAAATTCAAATAAATCGAAAACTAATAATAATAGTAATAGGGAACCTTTAGTTAACTGACATTATTTTTGATGTAGTTTTTAATTCTAAAATAAAAAACAGGGTGTTCCATTAAAAATAATATAACTTTGTATATTTTCTCTTATGTGGGACATCCTGTATAAATCTAACAAATTTTAAATTGTAGCCGTCTGTAACCTACGTATTCCTCCCAAACGAATTTTTTATATCTTTGGTCGTTTTCCCATAAAGCTCCGTCCCGTTGAGAGTGAGCCACCCTGTATATATATATTTTAATAAAAGTATATAGATTTGTAAAACAAGTGAAAAACGATGTATTATATATTTTTATTACTTCAGCAAAAAAAAATAGTATAATCAATAAAAATCAATAATAAAACATAGGCAACAATATTTACTAGAAAATGTATATGCTGCCTAAGCCTAATAAGTTGTCATTGAAGAAAATGTTAAATAATGTGAAAATAAAAACATTACGTAGTATCAGAACGTATTAATAAAAATAATTTTCTTTATTTTTAGTTCGAAAGAACCCATAGACATTAATGATTATAATTGGTTTCCTATCAATAAGTCACAAGATTGCATTTCAGCCACATACAATAATCAAAGGCAGGAATCTAATCCTTGCTAAACATTTAGAAGTTTAGGAACATTGAACAATATCGGGTCAGTAGTGTAGCGGTCTCACGCACTTATATTTATTTATAGGCAAGTTTGTGATCAGAGACAGAGGGGCTTCGAATCCTACACCGGACCATGTGGACTTTTAATTAAATTGCATGGTTCGGTATAGGATTTGATGTGTGCCGTATTAAAAGACATTTAGTTCCTGTTGATATAACATGCAGATTACGAAATCGCCATGCATTACTGTCTCGATGATGGTGGGTGAGGTTTTCCGTGTTTTCCTCACCTGTAAGTCAAATGGCACTAACAATCATCTTTAAGTCGCCCCGGAACGCCACGGCAAATAATAATAATAATAATAATAGCCGTCCCTTCTCCTACACAAATCGTTCAGTCGACTTCTGGGGTTGAAATTCACTCGTAAGGGGGTGAATTAGGGAAAGTATTATCATTATTATATATTATTATTATTGTAAAATAATAATTTATTGTTTAGTTAAAATCTTTCAATTTTCAACATATTTGGGGTGGTTGAACTTCCAAGAAAATAAGTAGAAGCAGTAGCAGATTTATTTTTGGTAGATTTAGATAGACATACTTTTGCAAAATTTCCCACTTTCTAACAGTAATTGCAAGTTTGATCTCTTGTAGGGCAATTTGACCTAGTGTTTCGGTTTTCCACAAAAATAACAATTTTGGGGTGCAGCTGCCAGCGTAGAGGTGTTGTCAGTCTTAGAAGGAAGCACTTCCCCTGAGCAATTATTAAGGACACTTATTGGAGAAACTTGATATTGTTCGCAGTGTTTTTGGGCATCCTCTATAGATTTAGACTGAGTAACAGCTTCTTCGAGACTCAAATTTTTATTCTCTAGCAAACGTTGTCGAATGTGTGCTGATAACAATCCGCTGATAAAAGCATCACGTATAAAGTCATTTTTATTTTGTTCCGCTGTTTCCGCTTTAAATTTGCAATCTTTGCTAAGAAGTATTAGTTCATGGAGATACTGGTCGATATTTTCATTTGCTTGCTGTCTTCTACTGGCTAATGAATGTCCATTGAATATTTCATTAGGTTGCTTAACAAACGTATTTCCAAGCATGATGTCAAATTTTGAAGAACGTCGAGTAGTATACTGGAATTTTTATTTTTTTAGGTAAATTTGTCAGAAAAAAATCGGAAAACAAACCTTTTTTTTTTCTCGATATTCTCCAAACAAAACAAGGTTTTCCGAAACAGATAAATCCGCTGTAAAAAAATTGGTCTAGCCGGAAAATTGATAGAAAACCATTTTCCCGAAGAAAAATTTAAAATTTTCCGATTTAATTCGAAAGAGAAAAGTTCAATATTTACATATTAGTGAAATTCGATGGGTTCGTTCGTTTCATAACAGACAGACAAACAGACGGACCGACAGACAGGCAGACGGACAACACGTATTTAAGATTTTTTTTATATCTTAAATTTTGTTTGAAATAAAAAGCCTTTGTAACAAAATATATATAATACACTAAAAAGAAAATACAAAACAGTATGTTACATTGACAAGTATTGTAAAAGAAATAAAAAAATAACTTTGACGAAAATGAACATTTTAAAAAATAAATGTCGGAGCATAAAAAAAAACATCTAGAACAGTCCCAAATAGAAGGCGTTTGCATTTTCATCAAAGATGTTTTCCCATCTCATCTACTTCATACCATATATTATTAAACTGTAGTACCACTCGTTACATTAATTTCAATACCACTATAATTTTTGCTGATGTTCACTAGATATTCTTTCAATTTCATCTATATGTTTGGGACACTTAGCACTAAGAACCACCGGACCATGTTCGGTTATCAAAATGTCGTCCTCTATTCTTATACCGATATTATGGTATTTTTCGGGCAGCAACTTGTTATTTTCATTTATATAAATTCCTAAAAAATGTATTGATGTACATAATTATATTCATAATTTGATGTCGACAAAAGCCCCTTAAGCGGGTGTGAAATGGGTTACAAATAGAAAATGAAAATTTATCACCAAAATGCCAAAAACTTCACAAATTAGTAGTAAATTTTCCCCATACAACATTTAAGAGATAACTTTTTTTAACTCCGGAAACCCAAGGCCTACCAAAAAACTTCCAGTACCACATCGTACTGTCAACATCTTTGATTTGACAAGGCCAAGTGAGTTCCAAAAGCATCATCACTGAACTGTTCTTTTATTAAAAAAAAAAAAAAAAAAAAAAGAGGTAAATAAAACAAGGGTGGTCCTTAAGATCTCACAAGAGTAATTTAATACGACCGGTTTCGAGGAGATCAGATCCTCATCATCAGGTATGGTCTAAAATAGATAGGTAAAAACGAATGAGCTCATAACTAATAAAGTGGGTTTAAAAAATTATAAAAGGTATCAAATATCAAGAACTCACCCGTATTACTCATCTATTTAAGACTAAGCTTAGAGATTATCACAGGGTCGGTGTAAAAAACAAGTATGCGAGTATTTTTTAAGAAATGCATAAAAACAGTAGTTGCAACAAAAAGTTAATGTCAAAACACAAGTAGGTCTAAAACTATTAATTAAAATTATTAAAATATTTCACGAACGGACAAACATTAAGACAAAACAAATTTAAAACTTTTTTAAACCCTACAAGAAATAAAATGGGCTCTTAGACAACATGAAGTGTTTATAATTCTGAAGGTATAATTTTTTATTTTAGATTAAAGATACTAATTAACGCCCTCTAGATATAAATAGACGAATTAACAATTCTAATATTTAAGAAAAACAGTTTAGAGGTTGTCAGATTTAAATATTTTGACATCGGCTAATAGATGGCGTTGGAGAAATAAATGTTTCTTAATTAATAATATAGGTTTTAAAATGAATTATTTGAATTTGTATGTAATAATAAACAAAATGAAATAAATTAATTATTATTGTTACACGTAGAGTCTAGCATTAGCGTCGGAAAATAATTTTTAGATGTACTTAATGTTCAAATTAAGAAGTTGGTAACATATCAACGGAAAAGGAAGGAAAGTGGTATTAATAGAAAGAAAGAAAGAGAAAACGAAAAAAAAAAAGAGAAAACTATTGACTTGGTTAGTTGTTTTTTGAAGTAATGTGCTGAAAAATGAAAATGGAAATAGAGACAGAGTAAAAATAGGGAATAGATAAGATAAGTATAACTAATAATTAAAGTCAATAGAATTTCATAGGGAGATTTTAAAGTAAAAGGGGGATAATTTAAGGGAAAACGTAGATTTTTAAAAAAGAACTGAGAACGTGGGTGTGGATTCGGAAAAGACTTGTGAGTTTAGTGATAATGCATTGGTACTTTTTCTTAATCTAAATATTTCTAGGTTCTCTAAATTATTCAATATCAACTTGTTGTGGTAAATGTGGGGTACCCTAAAGCCATCCCCTGAGTCAAAATCGTGATTGGACTCTACTAGATGGGTGGCAAAATGTGAGAAGCCGGTTGTGGCAGTATTCAAACATCTTAAATGTTCTTTAAGTATAGTCCTAAAATTACGAAAGGTTCTACCTACATATTTGGCTGGGCAAGACTTACAACTGAGTTCATATATGCCTGGTTGATCCATGATGTCCACTTTATCTTTATTCTTGATGAAAAAGTTACTAATTGAGTTGGAGGATTTAAAAGAAATTTTGAAGTGATTTTTGAGGATATTGGAGACTTTATAAGAAATATTTCCAATATAGGTAAGTGACATATACTTGCTAATGCTAGCCTCTACAGGTATAGGGTTAGTTATAAATGTTGTATTTTGAATAATTCTATTTTGTTTTTTTCTCAACATTTTATCGATTAAACTGTGATCATAATTGTGTAGATGAGCTATGTTTTTTATTGTGTTAAGTTCTCTATTGTAGTTTTCAATGGATAAAGGTACTCGTAATAGACGTTCTAAGTAACAATTGAAGGAAGCTAATTTATGCGATATGGGGTGATTACACAAATTATCTATTACTACTCCTGTATGAGTGGGTTTTCTATAGATATCAAAACTTAATTTAGAGTCATTGTTATGGGATATATTTAAATCTAAAAAGTTTATAGTTTATTAGTATGAATCAGAGACAGATCTAACTTAACAGACAACAAAAATCTATAAAACTAAACAATAATTCTTAGAATTGGCCTCCTGAAAATTATTAATCTAAAGACTGTAAAATCCCTAAGTTCTTTAAATCACAAAATCTATACCCAACTTTGAACATCTAATCCATATAGCCAATATTAAATTAGTCATATTCGTTATGAGTGATACAAAAAATTAATTTCTATGTATAGTACAACACGTGTCAGAAACGTTGCAAGCTTAAAAAAATTCGGTGAGATTAAGACAAAAATACACTATTTAATAATTACTATTATTTAGTCATCCCCGATACTGCCCATTTAACAATTTTAAAGATACACCTACATCTACAATTAATTGAATCTTCTTTTACTATCTCCTGTACATATATTCATTGGAAATAAAATAATACTAACCTGGTTCTATCGTGATTATCATTCCCGGTTTTATTACAGTATTTCTATTTACTGTTGGAGTATCATGAACATCCATTCCTAAATAATGTGATACATGATGGGGACATAATTGGTATGCCGCCTGAAACAAAAGTATTAAAAATTATAAACTAATCATTATTCCAAAACCGAAAACTCTGCAATGTAAAATGCTCCTTGCAAAATTTAAGTAGCTACTCAAAATTTTAGACAATTAGGTGCAGTGGGATTCTCATCTCTCAATTCGTTAACGTATAACACTTAACCACACTATAGTCTGCTTTAATCTAACATCACTGAACTAACTCAAAAGGCTTGATTCTCTTGAGTCTTCTTATTAAATTGGCATTATTGAACAGCTGGATAATCTCAAGGTTTTTATGTTGGAACAGATATTTCGGAAACTTGTGCTCGAAATGTTATATGTTTGAAACGTTTGTAATATTTCTGAAACACTTCTGAAATAATGTGTTCTGAGTGGGATGTATCACGTAACGTGTCGAGTTCGTACATAAGAATCCCTGTGCTGGTGTAACCTTAAATAAAAGAAGACAAGTCTTTTGAGCGTGTGCAACAGAAGTGATAAAGCAGAGTACTATGAATCATAATATCGAAGAGTGCTAAATAATATTTTAATAAGGAGTATGGAACACAGGTGAAATCTATCTACATCCAACTCGTCTAACAGAAATGATTGTCTGCATCACAAGAGAGGAGAAATGTAATCATATTGGGGGATTTTAACTATCGTGATATTGACTGGAGAACATGAACACTTTTTTAAAACAATGGAGATGCAAGAAACTTTCTCACCACATACACACAATCGAATTTTAAGCAATTTATAAACTTTACAACACGAATACGCAATGAACATAGCTCTCTGATTGATCTGCTGCTGGTAAATGATAAAAACTAGACACCTCAATAAAATCCGAACCTCCAATAGGCTTGAGCGACCACGTAGTCACTCACAAAGTACAAAAACGAAATTTTTGGAAAGCAAATTATGAAGCGATCAACAAAGAAATTTCGGAACCTATGGCACAGGTACAGGTCAACAAGAGCTGAGGAAGATTATGCTGCATACAGAAATCTGAACAATAAACTTAAAAACTCATTGGCTGCATCTAGAAAAGATTATGAACATAACCTCTTAAAAAGCAGCGAAAATAAATTCTACTCCTATGTGAAAAGAGTACTAAATACAAACAGTACTCAGATCACGCTAAGAAACCAAACAACAAATTTAGAAATCACAGAACCAGTCGAGATATCAGAAAGATTTGTAGAACAGTGCAGCTTACACAACAAAACCTGATACAGAATCACCGCAAATAACTACAACAGAAAGAGTTTAATAGCATAGTACATATAGAATTTACCCCATAAAAAGTGAAATTTGCAATAGATGGTCTTAAACCAGATTCAAGTCCCGGAACAGATGAAATTCCACCCATCTTTCTTAAGAAAAATTCTAGTAGCCGCTAATCTCCTCACGACAGTTATGAATGACTCAATACAAAGACAGGAACTGCCAATGGATTGGAAACAGGCTATAGTCACTCCTATATACAAAAAAGGTGACAAAAAAAATCCCATTAACTACCGACCAGTCAGTTTTACAAACTGTATCGGTAAAGCAATGGAAAAGATTATTACAAAAGAAGTAACCGAGTTCATGATGGAAAACAGAGTTTTATGCCCAAAATATCTGCTGTTACAAATCCTCTAAGTGCAGTTAACGTCAGCTTGGAATAACAACAACCAGCCAACTGAAGTGATATATCTTGATTATGAGAAATCTTTTGATAAAGTTCCACATAGAAGACTGCTTAGCAAACTGGAACATTTTGTAATAAGAGGCAATCTTTTATTGTGAATCAAAAGTTTCTTACTCAACCGGCAGTTCTGCGTAAGAATAAATGGGACAGCTGTCAAAAAACCATCCAGTTCAAAGTGGAGTACCACAAGGCTCGATCTTGGGTCCCATGTTATTTATTTTATACACCAGCGATTTATGCAAAATCATCGAATTCGAAGCTAACTTTTATGCAGACGATGGAAACATCTACTGAAAGCCACTGGAAAGCTCTCAAAAAATAAAACAAGACTTGAATAAAATAGGAATCTGGTCCTAACAATGGCTACTACCTCTCAACATAAACAAGTGTACAGTATTGCACATCCCCACACCTTAGATACAAATGCTATTACTCCAATCGAAACACAAAAGGATCTTGATGTAACCATGTCTAAAGATTTAAAATGGGAACCTCACATTGCTAATACAGTGAAAAAAGTCAACAATCTCATTTACCTTATCAAAAGAGCTTTTAAAGACCATTCCGAAAATATGATCCTCAAACTATATACAACTTACATAAGACCAAAGATAGAATTTGCACAGACCGTTTGGGATCTATACTTCGTTAGACACTGAACTGCTGGAAAGAGTACAAAGGAGAGTCACCAAAATACCACCAACTCTAAAAAACAATGAGTATTGTGTTCGGCTAGCCAAACTACAACTTACAAGTTTAAAGGATAGAAGACCTAGAGGAGACTTAATAGAAACTTACAAGTGGACTAGCGGGTATTACACCTGTGATAACATCTTCCAGGCCATTACATCAAGAACCTTGAGAGGTCACTCGAAGAAATTAGAAAAATTTTCGTAACAAACAGAATTGTATATCTGTGGATAGGTCTCCAGCAACATACAGTCTCAGCCCAGAACATAAACCAGTTCAAGGCGAGAGTGGATATAGAACTCGAAGAAAAAAAAAATAGTTTTATTCATTATAGTTTACAGTGTATTGGATTTTAACTGTCATGTAGTGATTTAGAATAATTTTGTCACTAACTAAAGGAGCTGCTTCATCAACTATGTCACTTGCCTGTGTTAAACAATAATAATAGACAGAAGGAGACACAACAGATCGTTTAGGTCGCAGTGTATTAACACCCCATTCCCAACATAACACATAGACAAGTAATGTAAATGAAGTGTCCAACTCGTGATCAGGCTAAAAGCTTCCTGGAGTGGTTGACATTTGGGATTTTCCGAATTTTAAAATTATTTCAACAACTTATTTCAGATATTTCTGATTTTTTGGATTTCGATTTGTGATTTACAATTATCATAACTTCTCAATTTTCAATAATAAACTTATTGAAAAATATATTACAATTTAGTTTGTTTTTTTTTATATTTAGTATTACCTTCATTAAATGAGAACTAGATTGTTGTGGAGGTATTAATCCCATATTTTGAAGCCTTTTGCCTAATAATAAACACATAGTTTCAAATAAAGTGTCTAAGGATGGAAATGTCTTGCACATTTCTATTAGTTCTTGATTAACATCATAAACTATTTCATAGATATCTCTTTGCTCGGGTGTAAACTTTCCATTTATTGGCCATGTTCTTGTTATGTCACTAGCGTATCCATGATATTCACAACCTGAAAGTATTTTACAAAGTTATAACACTTTGTAGATTATAAACCTGGAAATAATCTTACCACCATCCATTAACACCATATCTCCATTATTGACTATCTGATTATTATTAATATAATGGATAACAGTTGCTCTATTACCGCCTGCTATAACAGGCGGATAAGCCAAGTATTCAGCACCCCTTATTCTACACTCATAATCAAATTTGGCATATAAGTGGCTTTCACTAATACCTAAAACAATCATTTAGACATTCCAATTCATTTTACTGTCGTTTTTATTTTATGTTGCTTGCCTGGTTTGGAACACTTTATTGTATCAACGAAAGCTTCACTAGCAATATCACATGTTTTTTGCATTAAAGAAATCTCTGTTGGACTCTTGAACAGTCTTAATTGCTGTATTATGTTCTTAGGATTTTCCCAACTTTTATTTCCACCATCAGACATGAACTTTTTTACTATGGAATGCACATTATGCTGAACTGGCATCAGATAATCGTACCTAAAAAGCAAAATAATTATAAAAGAATACAGTAGTGCCCTGTTGGCGAGCACGCAGTGAGATTGCAGAGGGGACATGAAGAATTTAGAAATGAAAAAATAAAAATAGTTCCTAAAAAGAAATGCTTTATGAAACGGCATTCCACTGACAGTTTACAATGATCAAACACCACCAGGAGTCATGAAGGGGGGGGGGGGGGGAGGCGTGCAACCTGAAAACAGTAGAGAACCCCTACAGTAGTACATATTAGATAAATACCTTCCCCTCCACCACGACGGTAGGCGTCTCGACGTAAGGCGACGCTCAACGCTGCGACGTACCCAAAATCAACGCCATCACAACGCTAGATAAAATTAGTACATAATGTATAGTTTGGACAAACCTAAACTCTGTATTTTCCATGGTGAGAAGAGGTTAATGTAACTTTCTTTGAGTTTTATAAGATTTGCTTCAAAATATTATGTAACATAATACACAAAATGACCTTTGGGCATTTGCCCTGAAAGGCAGACATCTGTTTTTCGATTGATGAATTTGGATCACTTCAATAGAAAATATAAAAATCAATATTTCAGAAATATACAGGGACATATCGTCTTGGGTTTATTTATGCATACAAATCTACCCAAACCTAAATGGTAAAATTTAATAGTAAGTCAACCAACTAGGGAATTAACACTGTTCGTTAGCTCAAGAGAGCATCTATACTAGCTACCCTTTCTAGGTTTGAACCCTAAAGCATATTTGAACATCAACACAGTAAGTTAACCAACTGGCGAATTGGCGCTGTTTGTTGACTCCGTTGGTCATCACCTCTATACTTGTGGAAATAAATACCTAAGAAAATACAATCAAGTGTATATCTAGGATAGAATCAAGTTAAGTAAAATATATCTAGATAGTAAATGAATGTGGTCCAAGTTTGAGCAAGACTCAAGTGAGATCTGGGAAAAAAGTAACTATTGGAATATATTTTGCAGATTATTATGTTACATATTAAAGTATGCAAAATAAAAGGGTTTAAATATAATTTTTTTAGAGTTTTATTTACCAATTTGCACCGAACTTTGCATCGAATCCTGGTTTATATTAATTAACATTATTACAACATGGTATATAAATTATCAATTAACTAGACAATCACTACTACTAGAGGAAAAATTGCTAAATACAGTAAGTATATAATTGAGAGGTAAATAATAAAATTTCAGATTCAAACAAAAATCAGAAGGGTATTGGGGTAGGCAGTTACAGTCCCAAATGAAAACCTTGTGAAACTACTGAAAATACATCATATTGGATGGACAGACTACCATCTATCCTTGTCATTTCAAATCTGATTTTTTAAAGCTTTCAAGCAAAGTCAGAATAGCAACAGAAAGGCCATGCTAATATAATTTAAATAGCAATAAGGTGTGATTAACGGAATATACTGTCAATTTGCATATTTTCAAAAAATTTAAAAGGAATACTTTGTTGATAGATCATAAGATTGGTAACTGTAGATCTACCAGCAGTAAAACCATATTGTTGATTAATAATATATTACTGCAATAACAAGATAAAGGAATGATAAGAGATAACAAGTCTTGAAATGTGTATGTGAAGTACAGTTCAAAATATGTTACAATTTCAAAATGCTTACCAAAGATTCATATTACTTTGTGATTTCTTAAATGATCCCATAAAATTCTCCAATTCACTAATTGGTAAACTCTGATTAACACCAAAGAAACCAGGAGCATCCTCAGGATGAGTTCTAGGTCCGTCCCATAATTCTGCATGGTCATCTTTATCTCTAGTGAATAAAATACTTGAACAATGTTTATTATCATTTATCGTTAGGACAACACAGCAATCAGGTTCTAAACAACCAGTTAAATAAAGAAATTCTGTGTTTTGACGGAAGACATATGGGATTTTGTCAGACATATACTGTTTCGAAGCAGCTGGTATCACTATCTGTAAACATGTTAAAATATGTATTTTTTTTTTAATGCATTATTATTACAGTTACTAACCAAATGATTCTTAGACCTTAATGTATTTTTAAATGAATATTTTGTTATAGCCTCTACAAGTCTGGTTCTCCTAGTTTCATATTCATATTTTGTTGTCATGGGTGTTACTTCTCCTTCATTCAGAATATGAGGATGAGTATCATTAGTGGGTTGTCCTAATACTTTTCCAATTAATTTATTAGATGTAGGTCTTGATCTAACTTGAGTACACAGAGGTCTGATAAATTCTAAAATGTTTTTTTGTAGATACTGGTATAAAACATTTTTTACATATATAACTTACCGAATTTATGAGCTATAACGCAACGTGTGAACATTATAAACATGTTTTCAGATCTTTCAGTACATCACAGTAAATTTTAAAAATATTTTACTATTACAAATATTTTAGGTTATGATTTAGATTATTTTATTTAGTTTGTAGTAACCTCATAAAATGCTTTATTGTAATTAATGGTACTTGTATTAGTACAAAAATAAATAAAGACATCTAAAAATAATTTTTATAATATAAATATTTCAATTTTTTAATGTACAAAATTATCCATTTACCTATTTTAGAAAAGGCCATATGGCTGCATTGTCCGTCTTGTCCATTTTTAAATTTGATTGAGCATATTGGTGTAAGAGGCCATGTAGAAAGACGAAAAATAGAGGCGCGAAAAATATGAAAATAGTTGAAAGTTTTGTGGTATATCAGTGATCAGTGTATTCAAGATCAAAAGTCCTCTCAATTCAAATGCAATTGTAAGTATTTTAATATATTCTAATCTAAGATAAGACCCGCACTTGCCAGTAGACATTTAAAAGATTGATTTTAAACCATAAAAAATATTTCATAATTTTTATAGCTACCTACACATAGGTAGGTACCTAGTGCAAATAATTGATGTAAGAACGTTTCAGTTGCTTTAATTTCAAGATTTACCAACAAAAAATCGTTCATGTATGTGCCTTCTGGCAGTTATCTTTCTATTCCCTTGAAAAATGCAAAGAATTGATATTCTTCTAAATAATATATACCATATCACTGTTCCTCTCATAAGTGGTAGAATTACTTTATTTGCCGATGAAACGAATGTAATCTGGAATAATTCTGACATGCATACATTAAAATCTATCATAAGCAAAGATCAAATGACTATTAAGTGATGTCTGATTCAAATGAGATTTGTTTCAACACCAGTAAAACTGTAGCATTGTCTAACAGAGGTACTTTACAACATTTAATTCTAAACAACAAGCCGATTCTAACACTGAATTCAATTAAGTTCTTAGGTCTTTATATAGATAATTTCCTGAAATGGTCTACTGATATAGATACCTCAGCAAAAAAATGATCCTCTGCATGTTTTGCCATTACATTGGTTTCTAAAGAGCTGACCTCTTTTACTGCATTAATATACTACTTTTCCTTATTCAAATCTCACCTTAGCTATGGTTTACTTTTCTGGGCAGTTCTTGTAGCTTGTACCTCTTCGCAAACTATTTTCAAATCACAAAAAAGAGCAATTTGCTATGTATTTAGTTTAAGTAGTAGGACACATTGTGAAAATTACTTTTCATATGTCATTCAAACAATCATACATATTTATTATACCAGATGAAAAAATCAGCTAATCCAAAAAAGAACTGGAATACACAAGTTCTGAGTAATATATAGGTATTTCCTTCTATAATGCACTTATTTAACACCACATCCATAATCTACCAGAAAAAGCTTAAACAGCAAATTAAAAATATGTTACTAGACATGCCTCTACATAACATTAATGATTTTGTAAAAATGAAATATCTCACCTAATATTTTTAATAAATGTAGCATTTTATTATATTTTTACTATTACCAATCCTTATAATCTTTTAAATTTTAATATGTTGTAAGTACCTATGTAAAATGTGGTGTGTATTTTGCCAGGATGTAACTATTTAAGGATTTATGTACTGACGACTATGTAAACATTTTTATATATGTTTTAATATTAACCCTCTCCTCCTTTATCTATGGCTACTTTCAAAAGATATACAGATTCCTTTTTACCCCCCTATGACAGAAAATGTCACATTTAAACAGAAATGTGGCAAATCCAAAAACATAGTTGTAATGTCTTTGCTAAATACTTATCAACTTATTATTTTAAGACAAGGTGTCAGATGTTCTTTATACATAAAAAAAATGCCAAATATAAGACAAACATATGTTTATTTGGTATAACTACCAAAAAAATTTAAAAATAGCTATGCATTTCTTGACATGTAACAATATTATTATAAAATTTAAAGTCCTTAATAATATCTAAATTTCCTTAAATAATAAATGTATCACTTTTATATCCTACAATTATAGTAAACAAAACTTTTACTTCAATTATCATGTTTTAATAAAATTCTATTAAATATATCCAGCATTAGCATATCCATGTATGTTGAAAGAAAACTTACTTAGGTAGCATCATTATAGGTATATACATTTTAAAAGTTATATGAGTAGACCATGCATGCTATAGATTCTGTTTGTAGGTCTCCACTTGTCTCACTAATTTTTAAAAAAACGTTTGGATATATTTAGGTTTTATACCCTATTTATTACATGTGTCACCACTAATTTAGAATGTATGACCTAAAAAAGGTCATTATCCAAAAATGTTGGTTAAATATAAATCTTTTCAGGTATGCTTTTGGGACTATATTGAATATAATAATTGATAAACATGCAAATTATGACAAAGATGAACAATGGGTTTAGAAAAACTGGTTTCTACCTGTTCGAAGAAAAAATGTAGATTTCAGTATCCTCAAAATTTAAATAATTTCCTTCAACATACAAAAAGTTAGCCAATTAATTTAAAAAATAATATTTGTTTTTATTACTTATATAATTTGTATTATACAGATATTTCTAATAAAATCTACCATTACATTAAATGTAGATAAAAAAATATAGTGGGAAATATAGGACAGCATTTTAACAACCGAAACTAAATGATACATTCTACTTCCTTCACACAATTCAGCTTCTAGCATCGTTTAAAGTAGCTGGAACTTTAACTTCTAAACCATCTAATTTTTCTGTTAAAATAATTTGACAACCTAATCTGGACGTTTCACATAAATCATAAGCTAAATCAAGCATATCTAGTTCTTCATCACACGCCTTACTTGGAAGAGCATCAAAGTCTGCTTGGTTAAATATAAGATGGCAAGTAGAACAAGTTAAAGTTCCTTCGCATGCACCAAAACCGTCTAGATCTATACTGTTATTGACTACAACATCCAATATACTGTCGCCCACTTTTCCCTTTGTTTGTATGCGTTGACCATTTGCCTTTACAAATGTAATAGTTACTCTAAAATTTAAAATAAAACTCAAATTAGAAACAGGAAAAATCCTATTTAGGATATATAAGATAAAATAATCAAATAATTGAATAGAATAAGCACTTACTCCTTTTTACTTAAAGCAGGTTGTCCCACAGAAAATATTCTTCCATTATTTTGAATAAAATTAGTTCTTAAAACTCTTGTTAGCACTAAACTGTTTTTGAAAACATTATTTAAAGCCATTTTAACCCTTCACCACAATAATTCTAGATAAAAATTCGCTAAAGAATCATATTACAGCATTCACTTCACCTTTACAATGCTAAATTAATAAAGTAAATTAGCAAAATCTACAGTTTCGTCATATTGTTTCAAAATAATAAAAAAATCCTGTAACTGACGTAACATTTTAACCTTAATCTCAAATTCTCGTTCACTCTCACTTTCTTTTATCAACAATCGCCATCGGGCCTGCAGTCTGCACAAAAAGGGCCTCGGGCCCATGTCTAGTACATATTACAGCACACCACCCACCATTTTTCAAAATCTTAGCTGTATATTTTTTTAGTAAAAGACCACTTCCACATCTTTCAATCTGATTGATCAATAAATATATGATCATTCAGTCCTTCAGTTTCCTCTTTATTAATTAATTACATGCAATTCAAGAGGCCAGTGCAATTAAAGAAATTTAGACAAGAAGTTTTACAAATATTAAGTAGGTATTTGTTTGTAAATAATTACCTTTATCTTGTACTGCCATTCCCTATTCCCTTAAATACAAAATACGATAAAACGAAAGTTATTAAAATAAATAGAAGAAGAATCACAGAGATTTTAAAATTTGGAATGTTGGTAATTGGCCACGAAAGTGTCATTGTCACTGTTGTCAATGTCAATTGTCATCAGCCAATTTCTTTTTACTTCATTAGGCGAGTGCTGTGCACGTGTTTGTGAATTCTCGTAAGTTTATTTTAAATATTCAGCATTATTTAATTTATATAAAGATAGTTTTAACACATGTAGTGACATATTTTTTATCATTAACCGTTTCTTTCTTATATTTAAGGCTCCAAAACTTTATATTTCACAATGGCAAAGCGTACTAAGAAGGTTGGAATCACTGGTAAATACGGTACCAGGTATGGTGCTTCTTTGCGTAAAATGGTGAAAAAAATGGAAATCACCCAGCACGCTAAATACTCCTGCAGTTTTTGTGGTAAAGACGCCATGAAGAGGAGTTGTGTAGGAATCTGGGCATGCAAGAGATGCAAGAGGGTTGTAGCTGGAGGTGCTTGGGTTTACTCTACCACTGCTGCTGCTTCAGTCAGATCTGCAGTAAGGCGTCTTAGGGAAGTTAAAGAACAGTAATTTTTTGTAAGTCATTATAAGTTAATAAAAAAATTATGAAACGTTAGTTTTTTATTGAGAAAATGACAAATGGGATGCTTAAAATTAGGTATTATCTAGTTGGGATTCCTTTTATCATTCGAATTAAAGGAATGTAATATCTATTTGACCTCTTTTAGGGAATGAAAAACTAAACATATTATGTACCTACTACCTACTTGTAAATATTGCTATTATAAACAAAAAACCTAAATATTAACACTTACAGAAAAGGTAGTGTAAAACAATGATTTGAAAGGTGTACATTCTTAACAGGGGCTACTATTTTGTTGTATATATAGAAAAAGAAATAATACATAGTAACTACTTTTAGGTCTTTATTCAAAGATAATTGATGAAGTTGCAAGTAAAGTACATGTATTTACTTTACTTGCTGCACTTACCTTATTCATCAATGGATATAGGTAGATAGACTTTTATATATGTATCGATTATACAAAAGTAATCAAAGTTACTGTTTATATTTTGAATCTTTTTAAGTAACGGGTACTTGTGTAATGATCTAGTCAATAGCTATATGTATTATGATTGTTCATCAAAATAAAGACTATTATTATTATAAAATAATGTTAGGACAAGAAAATTTATTATGCTGTTCTATTTGGTTATAAATAATAGGATAGTAAACTTTTTGAGTGACTTTACAACAATGTAAGAAGTAATTAACAATTGCAATGTAAAAGTTATTGGAGGCATAATTCAACTAAAAATTCCGTCAAACTTTATAGTTAATGAGATTACAAATGAGTGATTCTTGTGAAGAATTGATAAATAATAGCATTCCATAAGATATTCGTTTATATTTATAAATAAATCGTTAATTTTAATATTTAAACTGTAACACCCTACTATTACGACAACCTGATATACACATGTGTATATAAAGTTGCCTACCCTTGGACATCATTCCTAATTTCTATCCGATCGAAAGAGACAGATGACCGAGTGCAGTTTTGTCGCGGTTTCTAGACTCGGGTCAATGGTTGCCAAAAAAGCAATGAGTACCTACCATATTTTGTATTTTTGCCTTTTATTTTCAATGATTTAACTTCTTTTCTTTGTCAAATGTGATTTTCTTTGTAAATTTGTTAAGTGTGTAATAAACTAATGCCCAGTGGCGTGCGGTGACATTTTTGGAAGGGGAAGCGATTGTATAAAAATACAGCAGGCCAGTAAGTTCAGCGCCGCAGACGAAAATTTTTCGCGGCGCATTCACCATCTTGCTTTTTTTTCCTCAGTACTAAGGATATTCGAGATTGAGATTTTTGAAGTGTTACTATTACTTTATTTCCTAGTTTAATACTAGAAGCTATAAAAAAACTTGAAAAGCTTCCTTGGTTTATTTAACCCTTTCTGTCCCAACGCCGCATATATATGTTTTTTAAAAAGTGGGTCTGTAGTCCCAGCCGCCGTATATACAGGGTGGCTCACGCTCAACGGGACGGAGCTTTATGGGAAAACGACCAAAGATATAAAAAATTCGTTTGGGAGGAATACGTAGGGTACAGACGACTACAATTTAAAATTTGTTAGATGTATACAGGATGTCCCACATAAGAGAAAATATACAAAGTTATATTATTTTTAATGGAACACCCTGTTTTTTATTTTAGAATTAAAAACTACATCAAAAATAATGTCAGTTAACTAAAGGTTCTTTATTATTAGTTTTCGATTTATTTGAATTTTTAAGGAAAAAAAGTTTCCCAGAAATTAATTGTTTACTCTTGTTTGAATAATTTTTAATGAACTAATTTTTTTTTCTTATGTGGGACATCCTGTATACATCTAAGAAATTTTAAATTGTAGCCGTCTGTAACCTACGTATTCCTCCCAAACGAATTTTTTATATCTTTGGTCGTTTTCCCATAAAGCTCCGTCCCGTTGAGTGTGAGCCACCCTGTATACGTTCAAGGTGGAATGGTCTCAATTCACCAAAGCCGAAAATATGCGCTACTTATAAAATTTTAGACCCATTGGGGTCCCAATGCCGTAGAAATATGTCCGAAAATGTTAGATTATTGGTCCCAAAGCCGCAAAATGTTGGCACCTAAGACAGGTCATGCGGACCCATTGCCATATATATTTGTTCTCATATTGTAGCCTGAAAAAACCTCTGGGACTGAGGGACCAACATGTAAATTAAGGCCCGGGACAGAAAGGGTTAAACGTAAAAAAAACATTTAACTGAAGTTTTTTTTATTTTCTCCAGCATTTTTCGCACAGTTGACACAGCAGTTGACATTTATTTATACTTAAGATATATTCGCCTATGCTCAATGGCTGCAAATTTGTCTATAACACCGTCGTAAAATTTTGGATTTTCTGATAACTGTTTAACAAGCTGTTTTTCAATGGATATTAGGGCTAAATTAGAGAGTCTGTCTTCACTTGTTGAATTTCGTATAAAACTTTTAAAGCTGAAAAACGTCGCTTTAATCTATTAGAATTAATAATGTCCGTTTTCTCTTCAAAATTTCTACTTGAAAATCCTTTTTTTAATAAAGAGCACACAATACAGACACAATTTACCACATTATTATTGTTCACAGGCACAGTACAAGAAAAACAACTAAGTACGAAAAACAAATCGAAATATACCTAAAATCTAAGATTTTGCAATAAGCGTAAGGCGACGTAAAATAATCGCTGCCTCTCGACCGTATTTCACGTGTGCAAACAGACTGAAACTGTTGCTGCAAAGCAGGGTCAATAACACTAAACGAAATCACTTGCAAGATGAACAGGTTATTTCAATAGGCGCTTCCGCTGACAGACCGTTTGTACGTTTACACATTTAATTTTCTCATGGGTGGTGCGTGCGTTTACACACCAACAGGGTTGCCAATCTGTGAGTAATTCTTCACATTTGTGAGTAATTTACTAGTCTGTGAGTCATTTTGTGAGTAAAGGGCAATTGTGAGTAATCAGGAAGTCAGCGTGGGTATATTCATGGTAGTTAGGCAAAATCTTGATCGCATAATTTATTAAAACCGTGTTCTTTTAAAAAAATTTAATATAAGCCTAATTTTACCCCCTAGCACTTTTAGCAGTCATAACAATTTTGTAGTTTTAAAATTGCAGCGTCCTCTACTGCTTGGTCAATGTAATAGAGTAAAAGTGATTTTGATGTTTTACAACCCCTAGGTGTCTTGTCGATAGTGATAGTCCCATTGGGACTGTCCCAATCGTCGATTAATATCTTTTTTTGTTCATTTTTATTAGTAGATTTTTTTTAAGTATTAGAATTAATGATTTATTAGGTATGATTTCGCCCATTAATAAAGAATATACTCTAATTCTCCATCCTTTTTTGTTTAGCTGATTACAACGATGTTTTATATACTATTCATAACTATTGGGACATAGGCTAAGGGCAGGTTATTTGTACCAAAATATGGCGATATGGCCAAATATACCTTAATAAAATATTGCTGTGGAATAAGATACAGGACGTTAAATAATAATAATAATAGTAATAAAAATAGACTAATCTAACAGCAAATTATTTGACACTGCAAAGCAAACTTTTCATAAATGAAATATTTTGTGAGTTGTTTTGCGTTTTTCTCGATAACGGGTAAAATTTCTAATCAAATATACTAAAAAGATTCGTAAAAAAAGCTACCACTTAATTTCATCATCAGGAATCATTCACGTGGCGCCTTCTGTAACAAAATGTGAAATAATATATAAAATATTATTCCTTGTCGAAAAATATGCCTTTGTACCAATTTTGATAACAATTCATAAATATACAGTGACATCAGAAAAAAACGAAAAAACAGAATAAAAATTTAACACCCTGTATCTTATTCCACAGCAATATTTTATTAAGGTATATTTGGTCCTATCGCCATATTTTTGTGCAAATAACCTGCCCTTAGCCTTTGTCCCAATAATTATGAATCAACCTGTATGTTACTTGGTTATTAAAATAGTGAATGTACAGAAAAAAGGTGCATCTGTTTTGACTCTTGTATGTTCTGAAAATTGCTCTTTTGATGATTAGCAACATTGCACAGTAGTAAAATAAATTCAAACAAAAGTGCAAGAGTACAAAATATACAATTTATATAAAAAAACTAGTAATATTGATATTTTGAAATTGTGAGTAATCCGAAAAAAATTTT